AAAAGCCCTAAATGTTTGCTCACAAAGTCGGCAGATATCCCCGTGCACACACACTCAGGCTATGATCTTTGCTTCCCCCGTGTTGCTTTAGCATGTGTGTGTGTGTGTGCGTGCTACACTGATATTTGGCCAGCCGCTGTCATCCACCACCCTGCAGGCCACACCTCAACCCTAACCTCAGGCTGCTGCTACAGTATTTCCACTCTGCCCCTCTGTTCTCTCATTCAAGCCAAACCGAGCCCCGGGAGGAGCCAGATGAGGGAGAAGAGAGGCGAGGGCGAGGAGGAGGTGAGGCTGAGGAAAAGAGGAGGAGAGAGGTGGAGGGAACGTAGCTGCTGTGACACAGTGTACAATAATTAGAGTTAGAGGAGTAAATAACAACAGTGGAAGAGAGGAAGCGAGCAGACAGGTGGCAGTGAACAGGATGTATTAAAAAAAATGAGGCAGAGAAGGATCCATGGGGAGGAAGAAAGGATGGATGAGGGAGGAGGAGCTTTGATGTGCCTTACCTTTTTTTTTCTTCTTTTTTTTTTGCATGAATGGCATCAATCAGGAGGAAAAATGTGTGATGTGTGAGGTGATGACTAGTATTCAGGGAAATTATGACCATGTGTGGCTCCCAAAAGCTGGATAAAATCCTCACACTAACCACCACCTACTGTCTCTGTGATCCGAACTCTCTGGTGTCGACCGGAGGAACCAGAGCTCCTCCCAGTGGCAGTTGGTGGCGCTGCAGCACTCTGTGACATGCAGGCACATGTGTGTAACTTACACTAGCGTCGACTTCTGGCCAGCAATACAACACTGTGGACGTGCTGCTACATGCACAGAGGAGAGGATAAAATGTAATCCAGGAAGCTCAGATGGAAGGCTTAACAGGCACAAAGACACTATTTACTCCTCTGAAGTCACCACAGCACGAAGAAAATGCTCCTCCATCTTGTTGCTCATGCGGGAAACAGAATTAGCTCAATCAGTCAAATGTTTGTTTGTTTATTTTTTATGGATGGAGTGAAATCAGCTGTAACACAAGGCCTGATAACACTGACCGTCCTTAAGAACTGGAAAGCAAATAGTTTTTGTTTGAATCGCTGGTTCAAAGGACTTTATAGATCTGATAATGATGAAACGTGCAGAATCAGCCCTGCAGGGGCTTTATGGAGATAATGGCTTCGCTGGACCATGAATACTTAAAAAAAATAAAAAGAACTATGTAAATAAAAGGCATTTCATTTAAGAAATGACTCCTGGCAGGCGTGAGAAGAACATGCAAACTCCACTCAGAAGGTCGACTGACAAGCCGATAATAAGACAGAATACACACTGTAAAGCAGTTGGAGACTTGTGCACATGTTCAAATATGCAGAAAACAAATAATAAAAACATAATACAGTAGGTAAAAAAAATTAAAGACAGACAGTCAGCGATGGGATCCAACAACAACAGGCTATTTTCCAGATGAGAGGTTTCTGTTTTTTGTTGCTGCTGCTGCTGCTGCTGATGGTGCTGGTGTTGTAGGTGATGTACACAATTAGGATTTAACATTTGAATTAGAGTCTTCTGCTCTGAGTAAAGCTGATTCCCTCACGTGTGTCACTCCTGCGAGGCCACTCATAGACACTCAGTCTGGATTCTGGTTGGAGAATCAAAGCAACACTCCAATTAAACGCAGGCTGACAGCACTCTGCGCCTCAGATAAGGTGCTCTCTGCCACTCCTGGAATCAGGCGAAAAAAAAAGTTTGCCACAAGATGCGGAGAGAGATACGAGATGTAACATGTATTAAGGTGCACTACGGCATGATTGGTACATGAACAGATTGGATCTATATGTGGGAAGATACCTTCAGGCTGTCTGAAGAAAAATATGTTTTCTTTTGGTTTGGGAAGATTTATCAAAGAGTACAATAACACCGGGAATACAATTTCACAGCCCCTTGCTTTATCCCTTACCTTTTGTCTCTGGGTTTGTGGGTGTCTGAGAATATTCTCAGTTTGATCAGTGATCCTCTCATCTCTCTGCAGCTTTTCAGAAGCTTTGGAGGTTTCTGGTACCTGATGATGCAAGTGCTGGCAGGCAAAAATGGCAGCTGTGAGAATCCCCCCTGGAATATATGTATGTGACGTGCGACTTCACTCTCTTCTTGAGTTTAGAGCAATCACAGGTAGAGAGGAAGCACTGATTGTGATGAACTTGCCTCCTGCTGTTCTCTCTGTCAATCCGTCGCAAAGTTTCCTTTCCAGCACGACGCATATGTTTATCGTCCAATCTGTCATCCAGAAATGTTCTTAGACACAACAACTCCCACGTCTACTCTAGCTCGCATTGTCAATATTTACCAAGATGGTGGTGTTAGATTTCTCAGCCAAATCATGTCCTATGGTCCTACTGTATCAGGATGTGAGTGATTCATACAAATCAACACACAGTCCATCAACACGAGTTACAGTTTCTGTTTCTGGTGTTCCCACGTTGTGCTTCACAGCTCAGTCTTCGCTCAGTACCACAGACAAGATAGCGTAGTGGCAAAGTATTAAGAGACATACACGCATTGTTTGTTTTTGGTCTTTTATCAGACGTGTCGAGAGCTGTATCTTGCAGTATGGAGTTAGTCTTCAGCTACGTCTCAAGTCAGAAGTCTTCACAGGATAATTGCGAGTCACAAAGGAGTTTCTGAATTCCAGCCTTTAAAATTTCAAGCTGGCTGTCTGTGGTTTACTTGTCTCGGGGGTGTTTTCACCTTTACTGATCCAACCTTACACTGTTAAACACACAAGGTTACAACTGCCTTAAACACAGAGGCATGACAGGCCGCAAGAGCCTGGAGTGAGATTATGCATCAATACAAAGGCATTCAAGCTTTAAAGTGAAACCTGATGTCGAACCTGTATTTTTCTTATTCCCCTAGATGCACGAACCTAATGATGGTGATGGAGTCCATCCAAAACGTTGTTCCAGAGCAAGACGTTTAACAACTACAAGGTAATTTTCTGTAAAATCTACTGTGCCCAATATATCCAATTTTCCACAAGATATATCAAAATCTAATGAGCTTATTGTCATGAAACTTATCAAGATGAACAGTGTTTGAAATCAAGTATATTCATAGCCCATGTTTGACCTGTACACCCTATCATACCCACAAATACAGTTATGACACATCAAACATTTAATATTTTATCTGTTAATTGGGTTTAATTTTCAAATAGTCCGCAGTCGCAGCCAGCAGATCTACTCCTGATAAAGAGAAAATCCGAGCGTTGCCATCGGTCCCCTGATACTCCAGGTTATCCTCTGTTATGTCTTCTGTCATGATGTTGTCTGATTTCTGCTTCGTGCAGCTGCTTCCCCAAGGTGGGCAACATTTATAAATCACAAGGTACATGGAAAGGTTCACATCCTATATGGTTAAAGCTAACAGCATAGTCAGCCAGAAATGCAGCCATGTTTATTTTTTTATTGAAGGCTGTAAAGTGGATAGTTCATAAGTATAAAAGGTCAGCGAGTCCTCCGTCACATGTATCCGTCTTTCATAAAATGTCAAAACCTTTAACAGTTCCTGCAAATGGAGGAAAAACTAGGCAGTTTGAAATCTCCACTGTAACTGTCTGCAAATTACTATTATTATTGTAAGTTGCAGTTCACGTTAAAATGAAGTAATTTCAAAACACTCAGAGCTCTGATGAAGCACCCAAAGAAACTTTCCGTGAATCACGCTGATATTTTTTCAAGTGCTCTTAGTAATGCAAAATAAGAATTAACATTTTAACCCGGACCATTTTAGATTCAAATCTCATTATTTTTCTTTGTAAAGCAGTCCTAGAGGCTTACCCCCAGGGAGGTAAGCCAGAGGGAAGCATTCATTAAAGATATACAGTGCATGCATGCTGTCTGGTGTGCAGGGTAAGACGCAGTCAGACAGTATGTAGACATATGGTAATCAATATGATTTTTGTTTTTAAGTTGCTGCGATGTCTTTGTTCCTGTGTTTACCACTGTGGTGTTTCCACACTGTACTCCCCAGAGAAAGGCAGAAATCAGATATAATGTTTTTAACCTTTCCAAAGACTTTTTACACAATGTGAATTGGACTCTTGAGGATTTTATTTTCACTGCGAAATGGCATCACTTTTACTCCAGCAGGAGACTGGAACTGCAGGAGAGTTATATATATTTATTTTTTAAAAGCATTTAAAAGCATCAGGAAAAAGACATCATGCATTTATACCTTACAGATACAGACACCTGTATATTACCCCTCTGAATGCCACATATATGAACCTGTATGACTGATGTGTTGTCCTTGCTAATGATACATGTCATTTGATGAAGGAATGGACTGTGGAGGATTTCCATTAGAGGTTTCCCACATTGCATGGCATTTTGTGTGTGTCTTTAGAGGCTGCTGTGCAAGATTAATTCAGATTCAGAACATTACATTTTATTTCACAGTCACATTAGCTGCATACAGAGGAAGCAAGAGAAAACATTGGTTTAGAAGCCACACACTGTAATAAAATCTGATAGTGAGTTCATATACATGCTCTTATGATTTTGTTTGACTGTTTGTAATCTAGCTTCTGATATAGATGGATGTTCCAATGGCTGCATTATAAATAAAACACAGTATATCATAAGGTGAGTTTAAAAGATCAGAAGATATGTCTAAAAGTGATAATAAATATTCATATCAGTAAATTATTTGAGTTTGAGTGACTGATCGATATATTTTTTAGCAATAACTGCAATAAAATTGTATTAANGCCACACACTGTAATAAAATCTGATAGTGAGTTCATATACGTACATGCTCTTATGATTTTGTTTGACTGTTTGTAATCTAACTTCTGATATAGATGGATATTCCAATGGCTGCATTATAAATAACACACAGTTTATTATTATTATTATATTATATTAAAAAAAATTACAATCTTGAACATATGGACAGAAAATGCAGCATGTGGTTACATAAAATCTAAAAAAAATTACAATCTTGAACATATGGACAGAAAATGCAGCATGTGCTTACATAAAATCTTGTAACATTAAATTTATGAAACAATTTTTCAAGCTTTAGTTAAAGGAATCGTTTAAGATTTTAAGAAATATACTCATTTGCTTTCTTCCTGTCAGTTGCCACTCTCATGTCTGTAGCCAGTATTTACTTGTTTAAATTAATTATAAGTTGTTTTTTTTTATCTATTTAATTATTTTTGTTTGAGAGGGACACTGCATGTTAAAAAAAAAATGTCAGTACAAAGTACACCATGTAAAAATGCAGGATTGTAGCTAAGATGTTAGCTTTTAAGCAGCTAGCTAGCTTGTTTAATCGGTAGAAAACTCAAAGTGTAAAAATAACTCACTGTATTGACTTTGGGAAATGAATAAAAACCGCAGCTTCTCCTTTTTACATTTTGGTTTTTGGACAAATTAAACAAATATGAAGTTACAGCATGTTAGCTAGTGAGCTTATGACATGCTAGTAGCCAGGCTTTGTTACCTTTGACCAAGCTAGCTGTTTCCCCATTTCAAGTCTTTAAGCTAAAGTAAGCTAAATGTCTCCTTGCTAAAAACCTAATATTTACAGACAAGATAGTGGTAGCCTTTCTATCTTCTCATTTTACTCCAAGCAAGAAAACAAATAAGCCTTTTTTTTTTTTGCTCTGTTAGCATTATTTGAAATCAATAGCAAAAGTGCTGAGCATCGAGAATCAGGCAGATTCTCTACTTCACTGCTCCATCGGCTCACTCTCCATTTCATTGCCAGACTTGATGCCGTGTGGGAAAATGTCCCCAGAGTCCGGTCCAGCTCCACACTTCTCCCAGTCAGGTTCAAGAGGAGGATTGTTTAAAGCCATCAAACAGCCCAGCCAGTAGCATTCAGCAGCCAGATGTCTGAAAGTCACCATCACACTCTGCGGGTTTTCACATTTATATTCAGGAAAAGGAGTCTGTCGTGGAGAAATAATTAGATTTTCACATCTGTCCTGAAAACACAATTATCCTATTTTTTCCTTTTGGCCCAAAATTGTATGAAAAGTACATATTTCTAAGGCTAATGTCAAACATACCTTAACATCTTCTTTTCTGCTATAGAACAGAGCCAACTGAAGATTTTGAATTGTTAATTGTGTGTATTCTCTAACCTGTAAGAAAGAAAAACAAAAGCTTGTTATAAAGATACAGAAGCATGAGGAACCTTTTTTTTTTTTGAACAGTCTTAAACTCCAGTACCTTCTGAGGTGTTTGTTGTTCACTGTTCTCATTCAGCCCACACATTTCCTCTATCAGCCTCTTGTTTTTCTCCATTTGTTTTCTTGAGTCCTCAAACATTTTCTATAATCAACATGTTCAAACAAACAAGCGCAATAATTACATTTATTGATTCTGGACAGGGATTGAATATGCTCACTCGTGACCAGACTACATCGTACCTGAAGTAAAGCGCTGGCAAACTTTATATTCTCCTCGTTTGATTTCAGATTATCTCTCATTTTAAGCCACTGTACAACTCTCAGGTGTTGATACATCTCTTTAAGTTTTATTTTACTGACTGGGTTGTTCATGCTCTCAGTGTCTCCAGTCTTTAATGAAAGTGCAAGCTCTCTCGCCACCCTATTCAAAAGAAAAAGAAGGAAAAATTAGAAAACTTTATTTCATTAGGTCAACATATGCACCAAATCACAATGTCTTCTTTCATACCTGTCTTTGAATGACTGAAATTCTTCCTCTTTTCGTCTCAGGGTCTGTCTGTGGGGTAAAAGAGTAGCTTTTGAAAGAGACTCCTGCTACGACTCAAGAAATAATCAGGTACCAACTAATTAAAATTTTCTAGGTGTTAGTATTATTAGTACATGAAATGAAATGAAATATCCTCTAGAGGGAGCTAAAGCTCCAGAGACTAATCACTGTTATAAAGATTTAACCTTATAAATGTTTTAGTGGGGATACCTTAAAATGTATAATCTATATTCATCCCAATAAATCATCAGAATTTAATTGAATCAAAATCTCTGACATAGTTTAATAAGGGTTAGTTATTGCAGGTCTGTTGTGTGCTAAAGTTGCTGATGTGCTGAAGCTAAGCTACATATAAAGCCTGTTAAACATGTCAGTAAAAGTAAGTTTAATATTTACCTTTCCTTTTCAAGTTGAGTTTTGTAATGAATATCCATTTCAGTCATACTGTGGGTCAGAAATGGTTATATCACTTGAGGCAACAGCTTCAGAGTTCAAATCAAATTCTGTGAACATTTACAACATTATTGAATGGTTTATTTAAACTGTCTGTAAGATCCATGATTTCAGCGATTTTAGAAACAAACCTTTTCTTGTGGTCCAGTTCAGATTGTTCACACCGCTGGCAGCTGGAGTTTCCTCCTTTGTCTGTCTTAGAGTCTTCGCTGCACAATACAAACACAATGTCTTTACAGTTCTTTTAACTGATGTTTAAGTCGTAAATCATAGTATGGCATTAGAGCTTGCTTCTTTAACGCTTACATTCCCTATATGACCAAATGTAACATGACTAGGAATTGTGTCAAATGCAAACGTAACGTCTTATTTGTCACTGACGTGAAATGACCTCTAGAGGGGGCTAAAGTTTGAGAAACTAGTCAATGTTTTAAACATGCAAATATACTATGTGGTACGGTTGTAAGTGAGACCTTTAAAATATAACGGAGATTCAACCCTCATAATCTAAACCATCAGAGATTAATTAATCAATACTATATTAAATGAATGTTTTGGATTGTGTTACATTGTACAGGTGTTACAGGAAGTTCAGAAAAATATTTACTTTGCCTTATCAAGTTTCTCGCCGCATTCTTTTTTCATCTCGGCAATCCTGTTTAAATAATTATAAATCATTGCTTTGGTTAGATCAGTTCAGACCGCAGATTCATGACTTAAAATATAAACAACAACTTTCACGACTAATCTTTTAGAAACAAACCTGTCCCTGCAATCGTCTTGAGTTTGTTCATACTGCTGGCACCTGGTTCCAGCATCTTCCTCTCTCTTAGAGCTTTTACTGTACAAAAGAAAAACAGGAATATTTCCTAAATAATTTCTTGTCAGTATTTATATTGTTGCAGGCAGACCGATTATTCAGTAGTTAATCAGATTGGGATAATTGCACAGGCAACGTTTCAGGACCTCCCAGTGTCCAATCCAACTGTGCAAGAAGTATTCAGTGTTAATCCACACTTAAATGTCACGTCCTACTCCCATTGTTCATCCCACCTTTTGTTTGAATTGTACTAGTAAGTAGAAATATTGTACCTCTGCTCTTCTGGTTGCAGTGCATGACCTCTGATATTAGGGAAAAGGGGGATCATTCATCAAATCTTGCATGGGGAGAGCTGTCTAACCAACTTTTAATCAATTGATGATCACGTGTTGGTATATTTGTGTAACTAAAGAGATTTTAATCTTTACAGTCGTCTCCATATTCCTCATTCCTCATTGTAGACGGCTGAAATAATGTTTTAAGCCCTTACCTTTCTCGATCTTCACTCATGTTGCGGTGTCTCTTCCCTCTTGTCTTGTCCAGCAGGTCTTCAGTCAGTCTGTGTCTCTCCAACACTAATGTAGAACTCAACAGACCATGGGGCGGGGCCTCATGAGAAACCACTGCTGCTCATTGGCACTTCTTTTTCTTTTTTATTTCCTCATGGAGACACAGCTGGGTCTGGGTTATAAAATGGATAACAATCGCAACAGGTTAAACTTTGGTGATGCAGGCTTGCAGCGTCTACCTGCAAACTGCCCTCCCTCAGAAAAGCAGCCCAAATATAGTGGCTATTTGTCTTTCAAACAAGTCCAAAGAACATAAAAATCAAAAGGCCACAGATGCATCATGGGGGATATGGTTTAGGCAAAAGAATATATTCTCCAAACAAAGCCATTGCATTTTCTTTTTTATCTATTCATCCAAACAGGGATGCAAATCAAGGAACAAGAAGAGCATGTTTCCTGCTGCCTCTCCTGCTTTGGAAAAAAAACATATGGGCCTACCCAGGTGCATGCTGGTCCTAAACCAGTCTACCTACCTACATAACATCATGTGCCCATTGCATTACCCAAAATAAACAAAATACTACTTAACCAACCGCATTGCATTTGTCATTTGACAAGGTCTTTGGCCATCGTTGTGTTGGCAAGACAACAGGTTATAATACGCCCTCTGAGCAGCGCTACGTCTTCAGGGTTGGCTGGTTAGCATGCTAACTTCAGTAGGAGAAAAGTGTGATAGAGACAAGAGATAAGAGTTGCTAGATCTGGGTAAGTAAACAGCTGCTAATGCTCACGTTAGCTATGTAGCAAAAGCAAAACTGACATATAGCTCCTTTAAAGAGCAACCGCACCTGGTCTAATAGTGTGGCTGACCACACCCAGATGTGTTGGCTGTATGTAAATGCATTTCCTCCTTAACCTTTAAAGCCAACCGTCAGGGCACAAGTTGAGAGGAAGCGATTATTATGAAACCCTCTGGCTATAACTGAAATGGTTGATGATTGAGTTTCCTGCACCTCAATACAGAAATGAGAAATATTACAGTCTACCTGGTTGGTCTATAAACAGCAGAGAAAAATTCAGGTGAATCAGTGGATGAATCGACTGCATGACATTGGGCATCTTCATACATTTCACAGATTATACACTTGTGCGTGGACAATGTTTTACCAACAAAACATATAAAGATCCAAATGATAAGCCATGGATGAATGGAGAATTGAAAGCAGCACCGAAAAAGAAAAAGCAAGTTCAGCTGGGTGATAGTACACAGGTTAGAGTTATACAGAAAGAAATTAGGAACATTATCATTATTAGTAGGTGTGAACATAAAGCAGAGAATAGAAAGGAAGATGAGGGATACCAACTTAGCCTCCTACATTCTGGTCATTACGCTGTTTCCTCTTTTCTCTGACCTTGTCCGTGGTGGATGTGCACACTGAGTTTTAATGTGGTCACACCCTTCAGGAGGAGGGACTCGTTGGCAGAAAATTAATAAATACATCAAATGATAGCACTCCGGCACTTTCTTCAGACACTGTAACTGCTGTGAATTGCTTTGTAATGGGTGACTCCTTTATCATAGCAATAGACTTTGGTACTGCCTACAGCGGATATGCCTTCAGTGTGTCACCAAGAGAGGCACAAACTGAGCCCATTCTGAAGACCTGGGGCAAGAAGTATGGATGTGACACCCCGAAGACTCCAACCTGCATTCTTTTTAATGAAAAAGAAGAATTCATTACGTTTGGTTATGATGCCAAAATGGCGTACTGTAAAATGGGTAAAACAGAAGCACAGGAAAAATACTTCTTTGAAAACTTTAAGATGTCTCTCTATGGTACAGTGAGTAAACCTTCTTTATTGTTTTAGACGTACATGTAAGAATGATAAATACATTTAATGTAAATGTTTTTCTAACATACACTTCTACAATGAAACTGAATTTAAAGACAAATATAATTTGACTAAACTTCAGTGCTGAGCCCCATGAAAGCTGTGTCCAAATAAAACTAAATATAAACTAATATATTGTAATTTATCACCAGCAACTCGATAGAAACATGATGATTCCAGCAGCAAATGGAAAGTCAATGAATGCCCTGAAAGTTTTCGCAGCGGCACTGCGCTACCTAAAGGAAGACGCACTGGACACCATTAGTGCCCACACATCAGGGCGGCAGTATATTGCCTCTGATTTCACCTGGGTGCTGACGGTACCTGCTATCTGGGATGTCGCAGCAAAGCAGTTCATGAGAGAAGCAGCAACTGAGGTAACTACCTCTTTTATAAAAAAAAAAGTAGAATAATAATAAAATGTACGTTTACATACGTGACTGACGGATTTACTGACTTGTATTACAGGCTGGCATTGTAACAAATGAATCAGCAAACCAGTTGGTAATAGCACTGGAGCCCGAGGCAGCATCAATCTGGAGTAAGAAGCTCCCGGTTGATGGTTTCATCGCAGACAACCAAAGCAAGGACACACTAGAGCAAGCTCCAGGAACACAATACATTGTTGTTGATTGTGGAGGTATGTGGTGCTGTTAATGGGAATTAAAAGTCAAATATAAGCTTTTAAAACATTTAGACACCTGACAGACCTGTGCACATTTACCACTTTCAAATGTCATGGATAGCACAACACAGAATGGATTGGCAGTGTAAACAGCTGCTAAATTAATTGTAAAGAAGATCAAAAACTCACATTTTATGGAGGACCTGGGATGTTACAGGAAAACTAATAAAATATTTCCTTAATTTCATATTTTGATATACAGTTGAAATATGAACTGTAAAAATAATTTATAAATGAATCCATCAGTGAATACTTCAAATGGATTTACAAAATCAGCATAAAACACTAATTAAATGCACCATTTATAAATAAATGTATTAATTCATGAAAAAAAAGAATTTGAAAAACTATTTGAAAAGGCATTTTAAAAACTGGGAATACATACCTGGATTTCCCTTTGAAAAAACCAAAAAAGAAAAAAAAAAAACCTGCCTTTTCAAATAGTTTTTCTAATTTAATTATTTTTGAATGAATTAATACATTTATTTATAAATGGTTCAGGCTGTTTTTGTAAATCAATTTTTAAACCTTGAGTATTTATTGATGGATTAATCATTCATTTATAATTTATTTTTTTATTTTCTTTTTTAATGCCTATTAAAATAGAAAATGCTTTATTACTTTTCCTGTGACATCCCTTGTCCTCCATACATTTAGACTAGCATTTCACTAATAACTCACAATGTCTGGCTTTGGCAAAAACATGCTGCACCAATTTTCACTGAGATTGTGTCATTTTTTTCTACTGCCAGAAATGTGTATATAAAAATATTCTGAAGGATTTAAAAAAACGTTTTTTTTTAAAAAAAAGTAGGTTTTCCTGGATATTTAAGACCTGTTGACATGTTTTCAAATGCTTTAAAACACCTCATTTTGTTTTCCCCTTTTTTGGGGAGTTATAGAATGTTACAAAACTACTACTTGCTTTAATCCTGCAGTTACTTTTTTGTTGCAGGTGGTACTGTTGACATAAGTGTACATGAAGTGCTGTATGGAGGAGCCCTGAAGCAGCTGCACAAGGCTTGTGGCAACAATATGGGAGGACAAACAGTTGATGAAAAATTCAAAGATTTCCTCAAAGAAATATTCCTGGATGACCTCTGGGATGAGTACGAAAAGAGTTATCCTAGCGAGCTTCAGAGAATCATGTATGACTTCACTGTTGTCAAACAAGTGGATGACGATGCCAGAATCTATTGCCCATTTAACTTGGCAGAATTAGCTGGGAAAAGGCAAAAGATTGATATGTACTTCAATCAGGTGCAAGGTGCATCCTGGGAGGGTGGAGAAATCAAAATCTCAAGAGAGAAAATGAAATCCTTCTTTGCTGAGAGTGTAGGCAAGATCACCAACAATCTCAGAGAAATCTTGAAGAAAGGTTTCAAAATCCAGTACATTCTGTTAGTGGGGGGCTACGCTTCAAGTGATGTTCTGCGCAAGTACATCACCAATCAGTTTGCTGCTCAGTGTAAAGTGCTGTGCCCTTACAGGGCACAGGAGGCAATTTTGAAAGGAGCTGTCATGTTTGGAAAAACCCCAGAGGTTGTGGCAATCCGGAAAAGTGCTTTTACTTATGGGATTGATGTCTGGCAGATATTTGATGAGTCCATACATAAGAAAGAAAAGAAAACCTCAAATAATGATGGGCTCTGGTGTCGTGATATTTTCAGGAAACTGGTGGAAATCGGTGAAGACGTAGGTTGGGATGAAACCAGAGAGCACATTTTCCATCCAGTAGATGCAAATCAGACATTTGTGAATTTTGCATTTTATCGCACAGAGAGAGAAAATCCAATGTATGTTGATGAGTGGGGCCTGGAGGCTGTTGGTTCAGTTAATGTTAACATGCCTTTGACAGAACGTGGCCGAAATCGGAAAATCAAATTGGAAATAAAGTTTGGCTCCACAGAAATTCAAGCCACAGTCACTGACGTTGATTCCAAGTGTACAGGAAGAACCAACATCGATTTCATGACCAAAGCATGAAGATAGATGTTTGTAATAATACGGAAATTCAACCATCTCCTCCGTTGATTCTTCAAAAGCTATTGCATCAACATCATACACACAGGTCAACAGATATTAAAGAAAGAAGACATGACTCTTTATGTATTTATTGTTCATTACTGCTTCAGGAATAAAGTAGCCCAAGCAGAACGCTCAGCCAATGCAACCATGTCAACTCACTTCACACAAACAACCCCTGCATGTAGTTAGTCTTATACTCATTAAAATGCAGTGTGTCACAGTCATAATCATAGTTGCTATGAGCACATCCATGACAGCGACAACAATGGCCACAGCCATGTCATCCCATGGCAACAGTCTTAATCACAGCTGCAGCCTCTCTCCATCGGCCTCTGCAGCAGTCAGTGAAAGAGTTATTTTAACTAGTTATATCTACCAACAATCGTACAGAACAGACTTGCAGCTTTATTTATGTAATGCGGAATTATTGTGAAGGAATGTAAGCCTAGTTCAGAATACAAATTCCCACAACTTGCTTCGTTATACACATGAAAGAGGCAGGGTTGTGTACTTGAAAACTTTATGTTGGCTCTATGATCTATTGTAACTTAAACAGTTATGTTTGTTTGTTTTTTCTGCCAATAACTCCTGGATGTCTTAAACGTCCTACATATAGACTACATTCCAAATTTTATTTTAGACATAGACATATTATTATGCATGTAGACATCCATCCAGTTAAATTCTCAAAGATGCAGTTTAACAGAATGTGTTAAAGTGATAATTGGAAAAATATGTATTTTAAATGCTACGAAATATTTTCGGTGATATGACTTAATGTTTTTTATTTCTTATTTACATTGCACCAGTGTGTGAACTGGCACATGAAACAATTATTATAGAGAGCAGTTCTCATTCAATAAAGTTGTTCATATTTGTTTATTTACTTATTTTTGATGTGTTCCTTGTATGTTCATAAAGCACTCTGTGTCTCTTGTCTTTTTATTTATCCACTTTTTTGTCTATAGCCTCAAATAGAAGCCCCAGCACGGCTTAAAACCTGAGGTTATTAGTTCAAATAGAAAGACACAGCATCTCAATTTACTTACCAGGCTATACACTTTACAACCGGATTGCTGCGGCTGGTCATTACTAAAAGTAATGAGCCAGAATAATTAATGGTGCATGTACAGTTTTTGTTTGCAGTACAACTCTTCATCCAGAGGAGGGAGCATGGCCCTGTGCGTGTGTTGTAAATAGAACAGCCCATGTGGATAATTGGATTTTTTGTTTGCTCTGAACCAGGAAGACACGAACTGACTGACTCTGTCAAGTTACAGTAACTCACAGTGAGACTACTACCACTCCGGTGACTTTCCTTTCAGTGTAAAAGACAGACAGAAAGCCAATTGGAACAAATTTCAAAATAAGTCTGATTTGTCGAGTATTATCATTATCTATATTTTTCTTTGTGTTCTGACCAGAATTCTTTTGGTATTATAAACAACTTTGCCTCCAAAACAGCAAAATGGAAGTTACTCATTGTTCAATTTGAACTATTTTCAAAGCAAAACTCAGGTTTTCTGTTTTCCCCCAAACATTAAACTATTCCTCTTCATTTACAAAGAAACTGTTTTGGGACATGCTGCTTAAATTTAATATCACTCACGAGTACAAATCAGTGTTTTATCAGTACAGAATGGTGGAGAATTATTATACTTTACGTAATGAAACCATAATGTACTGAAAACAAACAAACAGAATGATTTTTTAAATATTATTTGTTTAATAGCTGTTCATGAAGGAGTGAGCGTCCTCATAACGTCACAACCTTTATTTTGAAAACACACCGGAAGCTCAAACAACCTGATACAAAAGCAGCTGTGGCAGTACATTATTCTTCAGTATTTCATCCATGGATGTATTATAAGACCTGATACATGATCTGATGTCAGCCTGTGCTATTTGACAACAGCTGCCGGAGTATCGCCAGGACGTTTACGGTTAAGTAAACATCAAGTGTCTTTATTTAACCTGACGTCAGATAACGACTAGTCTCATTTCGTAGACGTTACTTTTACGTGCTAAATGTTGCAGAGAGCTAGCTAAACAAGTTGTAACGGCTACTGATGCACTTCACTGGACATTTTGTGACGCCTTCATATCGCTAACTTTGTTTAATTCTGACAGTTTTGTTTCTTTGTTTTTCTTCATATCCGGTATATATATATATATAGTATATTATATTTATTTATTTATTACGTCAAAAAAATAATTTGACAGTTGTGTAGAGTGGCAAATGTTGTTTCTAGCGCACCTGGAAGTGATTATAACGTTAGAAGGTGTAACCATTTATTTAGATACTTGCACATTGTGGCCTGTTTATGGGCTTTTTGGGCTTTTATAGGATTTACTTCCGCATTTGCTTCCCAGAAATACGCGTGTAGGTGTGTGTGCGTGCATACGTCCTTGCCTGTGTGTGTGTGTGTGTGTGTGTGTGTGTGTGTGTGTGTGTGTGTGTGTGTGTGTGTGTGTGTGTGTGTGTGTGTGTGCGTGTGTGCGTGTGTGCGCGCGCGTAAAAACAACTGGTATTATATATTCTGACAACTTTTTTTTGGGTGTGTCCTGTCCTTACAGGCATGGCTTTGTTTGAGAACTGCTCCGTGTTATTGGAGCTGAAAACTTTGCCCTTCAAGGAGAAGAAGAGGCTGAAGTCAGCAGTAACAGAGAATGGAGGCAACATTTCCTTTGTGGTCAATAAACAGGTCAGTGGGTGTGATCAGTCCCTGCTGTAGGTGGTAGCTTGTTACCAAGTTGTTTCCAGATATGTCAGGCTTTTTTTTTTATTAACAACTAAATATAATCCATCTCCAATATGATAAATGAAGAAGCAGCCATGTCATCCTAGTGGCACAACCAACAGAAACATGGCTGCCACTTTCTGGTGTTTGTCTGCTTCTAGAGCACTCCCTCCCTGTAGGATAAGTTCTTATCCATTAACAATAAAATCACGACTTTTCATTTCTCATAGTGCTCTCTGATAGTGAGCAGCGATGTGTCCAACCTGAGCTCCAACAGGCTGCGTAGCATCCAGAAGTACCAGACTCCCGTGGTCGGGGTGGAGTATGTGTACAGCTGTCTGGACAGAGGAGCTCTTCTGCCTTTGGATGGATACAAGCTGGAGACATCCTCTCCCTCGGATTTTTCAACCCCTCCTCTTATTCTCCCCTCGCCGAGGTCAACTCCATTGTCACAAGGTACTATCTTTATAGCCAGTAACTCTCTTAAAAAAAAAAAAACACATATTCATAGATACTAAGCAGATACACAAAATAAAACAGGGTAAGAAAAATCGCTGAGAACTGTCATGTTCTTGGCTCTCCTTGTATTTTATATGAACATCACATATGGACTCACAATGTTTTAAAGACAAAAACACCTTCATCAGGTCAGCAGGTCTTTGTTTCACCAGTCTTTAAAATTCACTTATAAGTCATATTACTCAATTAACACAATCAATCTATACTTTGCCTCTGCTTTTGGTAGATTGATAAGAGGAGGGAGTGAACATTTTGATTTAATCAATAGCTATTAAATAAAAACTTATTCTTACAGGTTCTCTGTAATAATTTGTTTCACATTTCTTGTTTGTTTGGAGTAAATAGAGGAAGAATTGACTAGTAAGCAGAAGTAGCAATGGCTGCTATTGTTAGTTGGGTGACTGAGTACAAACTCAAAGTAAACTTCCCAAAATTGAGAGGAAACAATACCACATTTCTGCCAGTGCTGGTTCCAAAACGAAACTGTGGGAGAACCAGGACACTATTTAATGCACATCAGACTTTAATTAGCTTCTGGAGTCAGGCCTGATTATCTTCCACACCATTTAATCAACAGATGATGTCTAGAAAATGTTGCATGGACACAACAATGATAAATGTGAATGTGAAATGAGTTAGAGATTAAATAAAAATGCAGATTCCATGGATTCTCACTTTAAAATAAGATGTAGCTTTATGGATCCCTGTTGGATAATTATATGCTGTAACTGCAGCAGGAAATTAAAGGGCCATGATGGTGAAGCACCCCTCACCCTGATATCTGCAGTCAGAGGAATGTAAAATGCTAATCATTCACTGTTTTTATTCCTGTGTCAACCAGTTACATTAGAGAGAGAAAATCAAATCAGAGCCAGGACTCTACCCAGCTCCAGCACAATGACTCATGATTACACACTCAGTCATTGCCTTTCAGCACAGACACAAGTCATGAGTGTCTTTGCTTATCAAACCCGGCTCAGTAGTTTTGCCCTCCCACTTCCACAGCGATATATGGACATTCTGATTAAAAACACAGTTTAACAGGTTCAACGACACATGAGTCTTTAGATAAAGGCTGTGTTTGCTCAACAGGTGTGTGCACTATTGCACTTTGTCACACATTCAGATCTTCTTTAGTGTGAATTCAAACCTGCAGCAGTGTTATATAAAGAGCGTTTTGTTGTGTGTGTATATGTAACCATCCATCTGTCACATTGTTTACATGGTATGTGTGTACGTGGGGTTAAATGCATACCAGCTCTTGCAGAACATTAAACGCGAGGTTGAGTGAGTCGTGAACGTGTGTCTGTTCTGTCCTTGGCTCTGTAGCGTCTAAAGCACCGACGAGCACAGCTGTTGCTGAGCGACCCAAAGACCCGGCCAAGTCTGTGGACTCCGTCAGTCGGACTCAGAGGACAGAGACTCCGGAGAAGAGCGGAAATATCCTGGAAAAGTTCAGGTGTGAAAAAACAGTCATCTTCACATCAGCCTGGACAATAAATAACAATAAAACATTTACATTTATTGTGCAAATGGCTAAAGGTTCAGCCCATTGTCCTTGTTAAAAACATTTCTTTAGTATTTTTTATGCATAGTATTTTTAAAGTATCACACTGTATTGACAATGGAGGGATATTTCTGGCATAGTTATAATTAAAATGAAGCCTTCATCAAGCTTATTGGCAACTTTTGGCTTTATTTAAGCTGCTATTTCATAAAAACTTTGCAACTATCTCATTTGAGGAGAGTCTTGGTGTTTGCCCAGATTTGTTTTCCTCTCTTTTACCATTCCCTCTTCCTTCAGCCAAATAATTAAAGGATTATTGTACTAAAGAGAGTGACTTTTGCACAACCACCAGCCACCTGAGGGTGAATTCAAATTCAAGAATTCAAATGTCACTGTTATCCATTCAAAGACAAAGTTGCACCCCCCCCCACAGCTCTAGTCAAATAAGCACTGCTCACACTTTTTCACATTCCCATATAACAGATGAAATATCACTTTTTTATTTTTCAATTTTTTTAAATTACACAGAATTTACACGGAGACTGATTCTGATCTTCCGTCGTATCCGGATCATTTTCAAGTGGCCAAGTATTCAGTCTTTGAAAAGGTAAAGCTTTAATTTTTTTTTTTTTTTTTTTTTTAAACCTGATTACTACTGCTGTTATAGTGACACTAGAATTGCCATTGTTAATAACATACATTTCTCTCAAGATAAACAGCAACACATGGTGTGTGCTGGAGCTGCAGAGCGTCAAAGGAGAGAAAGGACGGCGGTACCGTGTGGTCAGGTACTGGAAGAATAATACAGGAGCCAAGGTATGAAGTCTTTTGTGTTACTGCTTGCACTGCATGTCAACTTTGTGAGCTTAGTATAGAGAACACAGAGTGATTTCATTCTCCTCTGCAAATAATGCTAAACACTGTATATATGTCTCTTACTATATCTTTGTTTGTGCTGTTTGTTTGTGTTTGGAATTTGACCTGTAAGTTCTCCGATGATTATGTTGTTTGGTCGTTTGGTTTTTGTTGCTTCAAGAACTCACATATTAAACTATTGTGAGCTGTATAAGCTGATGTTTTCCTTTATGCTGTCTATTGTAGGATGCTATAGAAGTAAACAGAATTTAAAAGGTATTTGCAAAAGTGTTGAACCAATGTGGAATTGTAAGATTTTTTCAATTTGTATACCAAAATAGTGTAACTACAAGTATTCAAATCTCCCCCAGAATGTCCTCAGTATCAGAGACAACATTTAAACCATCATAAGACATTGTACTGTAATGTAAACTGTCCAATGAAACCAGCCAAACAACCAAGTTCTTTAGTGAGGGTCATCAATTTTTACCCTGATCAAAGGCACAAGTAATCAGAATGTAAAAAAAAAACAAAAGCAAATGTCTGTGTTTGTGCCAACAGAAGGAGGCGGTGAAGGATATGCTGGTGTTTCTGTCCACGTCAGAGGAAGCTCTGGAGGTGTACCAGGCTCTGAGAGAGACCTTCAAGACTACAGGTCTGCAGCTGAGGAGCAGCATCCCTCCGCAGGCCCGCGACCTGGGTTCCACCCCCCTGCAGCAGGTCCAACACACTCACTGCACATCACAGTTTCTAGAACGGTTCACACATTTTGCTGCGACTCCCTGGTTTGCTGCAAGGCATTGTGAATATTGTAGTGTTAAAGTATATTTAAGGTTAATAATGATATGTAATAATAGTAAAAGTAAAAAAAAAGAAAAGCAATCCAAATTATGATAGTACATTACACTACATGATTGTCTTGAGGTTTACATATCTGTGACTTGATTTATTGACACTGTGGTAGCCCAGTAAGCATCACATGCTAGATCACCAGCTTTAAAAGCAAACCAATGTAATGCATCAAAGACACTACTTTTTATATATATTTTTATATGAAGTTTACAGTATGTTCTGCATTTTTTAATATGCCACAATATTGTGCCAGACTTTGTGTTACTGTGATGTCTGAAGCCTGAGGAATCACTGCTGCTGGACATTTGTGTGCCGTAGCTGAAGCTAATGAGCTGATTAGGTGATTTCCATGTGCCTTGTTTGGCTGACAGCTGCTGCTGGAGGAGAAGCTGAACACGGGAAGCTTATCACAGGAGGTGGCTGTTTTTGTGGAGATGCTGTGGACTGAGGCCGTGGGCTACCTCAGCAACATCCTCCGAGTTTCAGTCAACAAGCTCAGCCTCAATGATGTAAGTTTTTCTCTGTGGATTGTCCTGTAAAGTTTCAGTCTTATGTCAGACTCCTGAAAGCAGCTGTCCCGTCAGCCTGTTGTTCGTTTTGACTTCCAGAGAAGCCTCTCATCATAGATCTCATTAGAATTACACTTATAGTCCGTGCCTTGTGTATGTGTAGGTGACCAGGGCGGAGGGCTTGTTGCTTCAGGCTCAGAGGAAGCTAAAGGAGGAAAATCCTACAGAGGTGGTGTCTCTCCTGGCAGAGTTTTACAGCCTGCTGCCGCACTGGATGCCCCAATTATCCCCCGACGCCAAGCTCATCTCTCAGAAACTGGACCTCTGTCAGGTAACAGAGAACATACACTAAAGACAGATACACACATACAAACATAAAGAACTCAACATTCATGTCTTTGTGCAGGTGCACTAGGTGTGTCTAAAATCAAGCAGGTTCTTAGTCTGTGTCGTGTTCACACTGGGAGTGACCAAGTGAAGCAAAGCCGTCAGTATACATACTAAAAAAAACCTGTTAATCCGTGTGCTGTTGATGAACACTGTTGTCCCACAATGCGATGCACAAACTCAAGAAGCTAAACACAGCATCAAAAACTTAAACTGAGTTCTGGAGGGCAGTGAAACAAACAAAAAGATGTCACTCCAGAGTCGCAGGTTGACATGCATTGGTGCACATGTTTCCTCTTAGTGCAACACATTCATATGGTGTGTCTGATAAACACTGATAAACCCTCTTAAACACACTTAGTGATTGGCAGTTTAGATTAGATTAAAATCTGATATTGTTACATCAACACATTGTTTGTGGTGATTATCGTGTTTTCTTTTCAGCTTGTAGTTTTTCTCTGAGCTCTTTGGCTTCTGAAGCCATGTGGTACATTTATGTTGCTATTATTGTATGGTATTCAAAACTTCCATTATAATAATAATAATATATAATGAAATATAATTATAAATAATGGTCACCACTGTCCCATGTGCATATTCAGGCTAAAAATAAACACAATCATTTCTGTTCGTCAAGTTAATTAGAGATCTGCTGAACGTGAGTGAGATGACTCTGAGAAGCCCCGCCCCTTCCTGTCTGGGAAACTACCGCGCTCTGAGGTGCAGCATTGAGACGGTTCCCTCCAGCAGCTCCGAGTTTCAGGCCGTGACTGCTCTGCTGCGGGACAGGTAGCGTACGGCCTCAGAAATGCTTGTATGTCTGATATTCAGGACAGACGAACCTGTTTGCAGTGACCCAGTGCTTCTAAGCTCCAAAACACACACATCCATTCACAAAACGTGGTGCAAATGAACACCACCTGTTATTTGTGTCCCCATTTAGTCCTTTCACTCTTCAAGTGGTTTTATATATCCACCCTTCAGCCTTTTTGACAGCTTCCCTGCTCCACTTTTCTCTCCACTTTCAACCAAAACTACAGTCTTCCTTAAGTTAGACAGACAGCACTCAGACAGACAGCATATTCAAATAAAGAGCCCAGTAAGTATCTAAAGAGTTGAATGCAGTTTGATCTTAATCAGCCTTTCCCTCTCTGCAGATATAGAAAATACAGAAGCAGAACATTGTTCACCAAAGGGACATGACATTCAAGTTAACTGTGATATAGAAGAATGAATGTAAATATTAGAGTGGTAGTTCTGGAGGTGCAAAGTGCTAAAAAGCAACCCACAACTCTGACACACACTGTGGAGCGTATTCTGTGTAGACAGTGGTGTCCATCCGTAACACTTTATAACTATATATTCGTCCACCTGTGCTTCGCAGCAAGGTGCAGATCCAACAGGTTCTGCGTGTCAGCCGAGGGGTGGAGCTTCAGACATTTAAGAGTGAGCTCGGGAACATTAAGCCACTCCTCCATTCCTCCAGCCCCAGCAACTTTGTAGGAATCCTGTCCCGGTGAGCTCACACACACACACACACACACACACAAACACACACTGTGGATACTGTGTTGACAGAAATCTAAAACCAAGCCTTGATGAAATGTAATTTGATTTGATGGGAAGACCAGATAATTGTCTCTAAATGGGGGCGAGTCTCCATAATGTGACACACAAGCACACACACAAAAACAGTTCAGTGGTGGTGCATAATATAATGCAAGACATACATGAATTATTATAATGAAAATTTCACACACTCAATTAACGATGTCTCTGTTTTTGACATATTGTATGTTGTGAAAAGTGACCTACTTCCCTCTGCCTACTCACACACTGAAGAACAGCCTCCCATTTTATCTAATTGAGCATCCTGAGATCCAGCTCCTCAGTCAGAGGGAAATTGTTGTTGTCGGATGATGATCCCAGGTGTTGTCGCACAGAAACTGATGAAATTCAAATTTCTGAGAGGAAAGGTTCTTTACTTTTTGAATTTCAAAAGCCAGACTGTCTGCAGAATGGGAATGCACCACCAGAGGAGCATTATATATTCTTTTGGTTTACTTTTTGAAAGAAAAGTTAGAGACGTTTGATGAAGTTAAGTTTTCCCGACGTCATTCTACAGAGTCGGTCGATAAATAAAGTTCAAGCAGTGACCTTCTGTCTGATATATTTTTATTGGATCACTCAGAAAACAGTCAGCCAATCAGAAGAGAGGCTCAGATCCTCTCTTCTGATTGGCTCACCAACCTGTTGTTACTAGAGCTGCAGAGAGAAGCCTGAGAGAGGAGATGTAAAACTACAAACATGAAAAAAAAATAAAACACTTTAAAAGAATAAAATATGGGACCTTTAAATCAAACTTTAAACCAATTAAGACATCTGCCTTGAACTTTTATTTTGTAACCAAGTATTTTCACTCTCTCTTTAGTGGTCTGCTGTTGCCCCGTGTTGGAGTGGAGCATCATGGGATAGAGAGAACAGACATTGGTAATCTGGGCAGTGGAATCTACTTCACTGATGCCATTAGGTTAGTAGTGTTTTGGCATATAACACCATTAACGTTAACTTGTCCTTAATTTATTTACAAGAACAGGTAAGCCCAAAACAATTTAAAAAGCGTGAAAATATACTTTAAGAAAAGGTGATAATGTTTTGGTGAGCCTGTTGTCCTCAGCTACATTATTTCATCATCTGGGGGAAACAACACGGCCATCTTTAGAGTAACCATGTCTTTCATTCTCCGTGTCCTCGGTCCACAGCACCAGTCTGAAATACTCCAAGTGCAGCGTGACAGACGGCTCTCGGCTGCTGTTGGTGTGCGATGTGGCGTTGGGAAGTTGCAAGGACATCCACAAGAGAGACCTCACGCTGACCGAAGCCCCTGAGGGACACCACAGCGTGCATGGAGTCCGACGCAGCCGTAACACACACTCCGAGTTTGAGGTAGAAAGTGTGTGTGTGAATATAGATAGAACGATAAATTGATAAATGAACAGACCTCCAAATGAACTGATTTTCATACCTCATATGGGACATGGATCAGTTGTTTATCCTGACAATGTTCACACATCAAATTGATGTACAGCTAAGATTTTTAATTCTGATTTGAACCACTTGTCGTTCGGGGTTAGGGCGCTCTAACATGTATAATTATACCTGTGCTCCAGGACGATGAGTATGTGGTCTACAGTCCTGATCAAGTGAAACTGAAGTACGTGGTGCAGTTCAGCATCGAGGGAGACCAACTGAAGGAGTTCAGTCCTACCATCAACACCTCCGCTGAGCCGTGTCTGCCTCCATCTGATCAGAGTGAGCGCCAAATACCTCCTCAGGGTTTTCTTAAACATTAACACAACAATTTTGCGGTTATTAAAGACGTTTTTTAAACCACTTTGATAAACTCAAAATTATATCACAATACAGTTCTCCAGTCTACTCAGCTTAAGTGTGGAGAGTTTTACTTCAGACCGAAGGAAAAACCAAGAGGCAGAGTTTAAATTCAGAGTTTAGTGTCCCATGATGGTCTAAATTCATTTGCAGACACAGAATCTCAGGCTATCGAATTCATTTTAAGAGTAAAAATTTTACATCATGTTTCTGCACTGCTTTTACCTACTGGGTTTAAAGGTGCGGTTACAAACACATTTTGGAGTCTTGCTAACCATGAAATCACCGCAGACTCCTTCATCACATTTCCATGCAGATGTCACTGAACCATTAACGTTCCTCAAGAGTGTCTGCAAGTCTTTCAGTGTTGTAAATCATGTCAACCTGGGGTCTTAATGAATGTGGAGATAAAATGAGTTGATCCCATGTGGCATTGATGATATGGGTAATAATAATGATGAAATGAAAAACAGAAATAGACTTGTACTTTCCTAAATACACTGTAGAGAAATAGTAACTATGAGAATTTGTTGAGACACAAGGAGGCGATGGAATTACTGCAGTAATACAGACTGGTTTTATTTTCACATTCATCTCTTGAAATACTTGGTTTTACATATATTTAAATCTACTTGCAATTTGTTTAACTCCACTCTGATGTCCTCTCTGTGTCATGTCATGATTGCAGTGCAAGTAGATTTTGTGTGTGTGTTTGTGTGTAGCACCCTCTTTAGATTTGGATGACGGGGTTGAAAAGATTAAAAACCCCCTGGAGGATGTGACGGCTGGACTGTTGGACAGCTCTGGCCAGCAGCTCCCTCTGCAGGCCGTCCACGTGAAGTGCAAACTGAGGGATCTGCTCTCTCAGGTGGTCTTTGTTTTTTGTTTTTCCTGGCTTCGTTTTGATGGTTGATTTGATCTAACCTCCTAAAATGCATCACACTACTGGATAGAAACTGTTACCGACTGCTGCGTTTATTGGCTCACATCTCACACAAGGCACTGACGGTTTGTCTCTCATCTCTTTCCTCCTTAAGGTCATCATTTTCCAGAAATACACCAACACGAGCTCCGTGCCCATTGAGGCAAAGTATGTCTTCCCATTGGACGATTCTGCAGCAGTGTGTGGATTTGAAGCTTTCATCAACGGGAAACATGTGGTGGGAAAGGTAACTTCTTCTCAGTTACTCTGTTCTTTCATTATCTAATATCTTATTTCTGTATTATATTATTTTGTGATAGTGTTAATGATAATATATTGTAAATGTCACCACTGTCAATGACGCAGTTCAGTTTCATGTTCTCATTAAAAAGTTGGCACTGGGAGTTCACATCTGTTTTATCACACCAGCTGTTCAGTATGACTCTGATACCGTATAGATAATGGATTTTTTTTCTCATCTGCGCTGCTTGTCCTCATTTTGATCCGTGGTGACAGGCTGCTCTTTCCTGATCAACTCCTCAGTGATTGCATATATTTTCAGGCCGTCATTGTATTACGCCGTGCAGCAAACCTCACCCAGCGGTGCAAAGTATAAAATTAGCATGAAGGATAATTATCCAAACCAGTTTAACCTTGTTTTTGTGTCTGTGTGGTTCTCAGGTGAAAGAGAAAGAGACGGCTCGTAAGGAGTACAAGCAGGCTATTGAGAAAGGCCACGGAGCGTATCTCATGGACCAGGATGCCCCTGTATGTCCACCCTCAACACACATCATCAAGCTCAATGTCTAATTCTGACTAATCCATCATTATACCACAATATTTTCTAGCCCATTTCCATAGCGTTTCATTAATGAAATGAAAAGTTTGTGACTAATCTGACACTTAAAAATGTATTTTTTACACTGGTTGTGACAAAGTTTTTTGTGCTCGCTGCAGGACGTGTTCACCATCAGCGTGGGCAACCTGCCGCCCGGCGCCACCGTCCTCATTAAAGTTACCTTCGTGTCTGAGCTGATCGTCAGGGATGGGGGTATTCTTTTCTCCCTGCCTGGGAGTGTGGCTCCGTGGCAGGAGAGTGCAGCACTCAACCAGACCACACAGGTAACGAGAGCCTGGATGAGAGGCTTGTTATTAGGCAGACTGTCAGGAGAGTGAAAAATGGCAAAAGGTCCCTATGGAAGCAAAAAAAAAAAAAACCCAGTGAGAACACAGACAGAGGGCAGAGTCTACTGTTGTACTGTATGTTCCTGTATTTGCTCCTTATTTTCCTTCTGGTGAATGTTTCACATGTGTTTCAGTTAAAAAGCAGAAACACACTATGACACATCAAAATGTAGTTTTTACACTGGTTGTGATGTAAAAACACACACACACCCTTTGTGCAATATCCCTTATCTGCTGCTAGTTTGGGTTTATTTATTATTATTTTAAATATCTTTTGTACATATTGTATTATTACTTATTATTCATCTTTTTTTATTGACACTTTGCAGTTCTCTTTCTGCCCACTGGCCACTCTGCTGCTATAAAACTGCAAATTTCCCCACTGAGGGACTTTCACTGCAGGAGCAATTATAAACAGAGGCCAAGTGTTGTTGTTTCAGTTTATTTGTTCATGTTGCTGCATCAGGTTTGTTTCTACCGATCTGATCTGGTGCTGATTGTCTCGAGGATATTGGATCTCATGTCGTAGTGTGTGAGGGACTCGACACTGAAAGTAAAATGACTGTTAATGGTCTTATCTGTTTTGTGTGTTTGTGTGTTGCTGCTCAACAGGTCACTGTGGAGAAGGTGTGTGTGACTGATGAGGCAGCAAGTACAAGGTGTTTTTTTTGGGGGCTTTTTTAATACAAAATTATTTTTTAATCCATTTTTCATGAAAACCGACTCCATCTTTAGTGCTGAATATTATTTGTGTTGTGTGGGGAAACAGTGGATCGAGTGACTAGTTAATCAACAAATGATTAAATAAGAATTTGTCATTTATAAAGTAAAACTTTTGGATAGAAAATTGTTTCCCTCCCTACGAGTTTTTTTTCTAACAGACACTTAAATGTGTGCAGCAGGAGGCTGTGTCTGATGTGTTGTTTCTTTCCCTCAGAGAGTTCACCTTAGACGTGTCGGTTGAGATGCCCTATGAAATTACCAGACTGCAGTGCTTCACTCACAAAGTCAAGATTAAGGTAATTTTGGTGTATTTCTGATTATGCAGATTGTTACATGGTTGTAAGTTATTTGCTCTGTCTCACTGGATTCACACAAAATCCTGAAAAGTCTACAAACAGTTTTAGCGTAAGAGTTCTGTTTTTCTCTCTGGACTTCATAAATTTGGAAATGAAAGAAAAATGGAGACACAAGTTTGCAAAAATATGCTGAATGTCTTAATATTCAAAATGAATCAAGGTAACATCCTAGAAACTAGAAAATATCTGTCAGTTTTAAAATTGAGACTTTGCACAACCTGCATATCATTGCATTCAGGTGCTGAAATGATTACTGGATAAATTGAGAAGTCTGCCAGCAGAGAATTTGTTAGAATTAACACACTCTTGTAATTCTGAGATTTGCATGTTACAGCTTCACCAAAATATGCCTGTGTTTCTGTGTTTTAACATCAGATGTTGAGAAGTTCTTTTTTCTGTGTGTGTGTGTGTGTGTGTGTGTGTGTGTGTGTGTGTGTGTGTGTGTGTGTGTGTGTGTGTGTGTTCCCATAGAGAACACAGTGTAAGGCAGTAGTGAGTGTGCTGCCAGGAGAGGTCATGGGTGCAGAGGGTTTCCAGCTGTCAGTCGCTCTGTCTGAGGTCCACCTGCCCAGGATGTGGGTAGAGACACACCCTGACAAGGACAGCCAGGTCAGTCGGTGTGTCTGACTTCCTCTCTTTCTCTCACTATGTTCCTTTTTTTAAAACCTTAATCTGCTGCTCTCTCCTCCAGGCCTGCATGTTGGTTTTCTATCCAGCCTTTGACATCAACTCCAGCTCAGCGTCCGATGAAGTCGTCCTGTTGCTGGACACGTCTGAGTCCATGAAGGGAGAGTCTCTCCACATGGCCCAGAGGATCGCCCTCCAGGTCCTCAAAACCCTCGGCCACAACCTTAGACTCAATGTCATTTTATTTGGCACAGGTCGGTTTTGTCCTCTTTAAGTTTTCATGAATACTGTGACAAAATTTTGAAAAGACAAAAGACAAGTTGGCAAGATGAGACAAAGCAGAACTCAGTATTAAAGAGGAAGCTGAAATTCGAGATGACAGATAGTGAAAGATATTAATTTTGATTGATTATTGATTACTGATTATCTGACACATTCTATGAATAAAGGAATAAAACCAGCACTTCTTTGGTAATCTGTTATCCACTTTACATGCAGTAGTGTTTCTGCACTTCATCTCACATGAGCTGTGGAACATAGACATATAATTATGAAGATTATTCCCACCAGTACAAGAAAACTGTCTCAGGAGACATTCACCTTTCACATGGAAGATTCTTTTACATGGTTTTACTGTGTTTTTGTCTGGTCAGATCACACCGAAGCGTTCCTGACAGCACAGCCGCTCGCTGAAGGTCGTCAGGCAGCAGAGAACTTCATCAAGGTGAGTTCAACCTGGAAGCCATTTCTTATAAGGAATACTGAATGTTGTTGACATGAAGCAAGCATTTATTTCTTTAAATCAAAATTAGAAATACTTTATTATTTTCTGTGGTTATTTCTAATGATCGGTATGATTAACGTAGCTATGAAGTTCCGCTGTATAACAAGTGATCTAATGCCGTAAACTTTAAAACAAGTTATTTTCTTCATGTGGAATATCAGCGCCTCTCTCCAGTGGGAGGCAGCACCGAGCTGTGGCGGCCCCTGCGCGCTCTCAGCCTGCTGCCTCCGTCCCGCGGCACCAGGAACCTGCTGCTGCTGTCGGACGGCCACATCCAGAACGCAGAGCTCACCTTGCAGCTGCTCAGAGACAACGCTCAGCACAGCCGCCTCTTCACCTGTGGGCTCAGGTCTGAATGGTTTGAGGGGTCAGGGTGTCACGGAGGGGGTGGGGTGGGTGGCATTTTAAAGGTGTGTGTTTACGTGTGTGTTTATGTCATATCAGCCCGACAGCCAATCGGCACATGCTGAGAGCTCTGGCCCAAGCAGGGGGTGGAGCCTATGAATTCTTCGACACAAAAACCAAACACAACTGGGCAGAGAAGGTGAGGTGACTGCCTGCTATTAGTTATTGCTTCTTTCTAACCCAGATGAATCTCTAATGCCACGAGTCGTAAAATGTGACAAATATCCTCGCACACAGAATGAAATAACCACTGTTCACTGATCTGTTTTGACCACAGGTGGCAGCTCAGGTGAAGCGTATTGCATCTCCTGGCTGCAGTTCAGTGTCAGTGAAGTGGCAGCAGTTCAACCCAACGGCGCCCACTCCTGTGCAAGCCCCCAAACAGCTGCATGCTCTGTTCAACGACTGTCACACCCTGGTTTACGGCTTCGTGCCACACTGCACCCAGGTACGCGGTGTATCTACGTGGCTGAAAACTGAATTTTAGCTCAATTGTTTAGTCCCTCAAATATTAAAAACTAGCGAAATATCCCCGTTACAGTTTCCCAGAGCTCAATGCGACATCTTCAGATTGTTTGTTTTCTTTAGCCACTTGTCAAAAACATACCAATATTAAATGTTCAATAATATGCAGCAAATACATCATATTTAAAAAGCAAACCAGCAAATATTTGGTGAATTTCCTTGATAAATGATTGTTATTTCACACAGGCCACCCTCCTTGGAAACCTGAGTGGGCAGGAGCTCAAAACCATGGTGTCAACCAGTGAGCTGCAGAAGACTAGAGGCACAGTAAGTCCACACACATTCACTCTCTACAGCAACTGGTCCACTGGCAATAATATCTGGCCTTTCAGCTTGTTTTGATAATCTGATTTTTTTATTTTTTTTATTTTACAGTATCGGACTGACAGTCCCACATTTAGCTATAATGTCCAAATAGAGAAACTACCCCCGCCTGAAGAATGCGTATTATCTGTGTTGAGAGTGAATGACACAAACAGTATCTGGATTAGTATCAGCTCCTCACACGCCCCACCTCTTCCCCCATTTTTGGATTAGCCGGCTCGAGTCCAACCTGTGGCCCCTTTGCTTTCTCTCTCCCCAACTTTCCACTAACTCTCTCACTGTAGTTATCCAAATAAAGAGTAACAAAGCAAATTCCAGTTGCATGTTTATCAATCAATTTCTTAACAGGACCTGTTGTGTATGTTTAATGTGAGCTGATCAATTTTTCAACTGAAAGAAATCACACTGTAAAGAGGTGAAAGTAGTTCACCCTGCAGATACTGATGTAGGTTGAGGGTGATTGTCATTACCATAAAGATGATGAGGTGATGATCATAATGTGTGTTGATGTGTGTGTTCAGTTTCTTCACAAGCTCACAGCAAGGGCCCTCATCAGGGATTATGAAGACGGGAACCTGGATACCAATGAGGCCGAACATGAGGTGTGTGTGTGTGTGTGTGTGTCATTGAGTGTGGCCGAAAGCACCCTCCCACCTCAGTTTAGACGTCCAGTCTGAGCTCCACTTGCTGATGGGGATTTTTTGCTTTTCCAGGGGAAGAAAGAGGAGCTGAAGTCCTTCATCGTGGAGTTGAGCAAAGAGTTCTCCATTCTGTCTCAGTTCACCAGCTTCGTTGCCATTGAGGAAAGGGTTTGTGCAATTTTCAGCCTTTTTCACATTTATACTGTTATTCATATCTACTTCTGGTAGCTGTCGAGGACACCCACCTCACCTCCACCCCACTCACTTTACTTGCTGGGTTATAAAGTTTTGTCACATCATGTTTTGTAGCTTCCAACCAAACCAAACTCACCTACCTTGTTTCAGGACTCAGAAAAACCAGAGGAGGGTTTCACAGACATCCCCAAGTTGATCGCAGAAGAAGATGTGGACTTCCTCCACTACATCAGCTGGACTTTTCCTCAGGAGAGTTCAGAGGAAGAGATGGAGGAAGGAGAGAAATACTCTTTGTGTTTACATTCATCTGTAGTTCTGAAGGTAGCATCACCCTGTGTGTAGTGTATTCACTGAGGAAGAGCAAAGTTAATAGGGATTTACTAATCCTGCATTTTTCTCTGTTGTAGGAAAGAATCCATTCTATGGACCAAATTAAATGTGACATGGCGCTCTCAATCTCTTCAGATGATTCACTAATGGTTAGTCCCTTCATGCACGAACTACAGCTGCACATTTGCTATTTTGGGGGTCGACAAAAAAATGCGTATTTTAGATTGAGCCTCTATTTTTTTAATGCATGGACAGTGTGAAGAAAAAATAAATACAACACGTAATAGGTCACAACAAACATTATAAATTAAGCAGAGCAATGCACACTGCTCTGTCTGGTGAAAGTGATTTTCAGGAGGTAGCATCACACTGTGTGCAGTGTATTCACAGAGGTAAAGCAAAGATACTTGTTGGGATTTACTAATCCTGCATTTTTCTCTGTTGTAGGAAGAATCCCTTTTTACATCGGGAGTCCTACATAGTTTGGGACACTCCAGCTCTTCAGATGATTCAGTAACGGTTAGTCCCTTCATTCAGAAACTGCAGCCGCACATTTGCTATTTTGAGGGTCAATAAAAAAATGCAGATTTTAGATTGAGCTGCTATTTTTGTTTTCTTCATCTCTCTCTCCTTTCATAGAGTCTGATTGACTTCTCTTCACCAATTGAGGGGCATCAAGAAGCCGCTGATGACAGAAGGGCTAACAGTATGAGGTCCTCAGTACAGCTCAAAGATTTGGAATTTCTTCCTGATTGCATGGTTACGGAGGGTCATCCTCCTCCTCCTCCCGCTCCTCTTCCTCTTCCTCCTCCTCCACTTGCACAAGCCCAAGTTTTCGGCTCTGTAGTCCTTCCACCTCCACGTCCCCTTGAATTCACTGGATCTCAGATCAAGAATCGTGCACGCTCAATGTATTTTAAATCAATCGACATGCCACATCCACTCACTTACTCAGCGGACACATTCCAGAGTATTGAGAAGAGTTTTTCACGTTCCCGGTCACGGCAACCACGTTCTTCACCTAAAATGGCCGAGAAAGCCAGCAGGTGGATACCAATGACTTCTAAACCAACCCAGAGTCCCCTACCGATTCTTGACATGGAAAAGGAGGGTCCAGTCATAAAGTCCCAAGATTTGAGTTTCACTGGTGCTGAAGTTGGAGACGAACTTTCAGCGACATTATTATGCCACAGCAGACGTAGGGTCAAGGGCATAGAAACTGACTCTATGGAAATCATGGCTGACACAGCTGAACCCGCACCTCTCGTACATAAACGAAAAACTCTGAGAAAATGTTTCAGGAGCGACGAATTACTTGGGACATCCGCCTACTCTCCGCCTCAAGCTGGACCCCAAAGAGCGGTCTTATTTGGAGCGCGTGCTGCTCCAAATGAAGGTCTGTTTTACGAGACAGGTTTTTCATCCGCGGCAGTATTGGCCCAGAATGAATCTGCACATGATAAAGCTTTACCTCCGCTTTCCCCGAAGACAAAAAGGATTCTGGCCGCTTCAGGTAGCCCTCCAGTAAAACTGGCCGCAGCTGAATCAGCATTTGCTCAGTTCTTTGGCGGAGAAAGGAAGAGGCCCCCTCGTGTAAGGGGGGCACGAGTTGTTCGTTCCTGTGGGTGAGTCCTGAAACAGTTTTTTTTTTTTATATGCCTTCGTTTAAAAAATCTGGATAATAATTCTTCTAAACAATTTTTGTTGCCAAAATACTGTCTACTCACTCTGCTTATTTTAATACTGGCAAGTTTCTGGGTGACAAAATGAAATCTGACTAAATCACCTGTATGTTCTATTTATATATACGCACACACACACACACTCACCGAGCACTTTATAAGTAACACCATACTAATACTGGGTTAGTTCATCCATTTGCTCTCAAAACAGCCTCAGTTCTTTGTGGCACCTCCTGACCTGTATCTGCAGGATTTTATGCATCAGATTGCTGCCACGTGATTGGCTGATGGGATAACTGAATGAATAAGCAGATGAACAGGTGTTCCTAATAAAGTGCTCAGTGAGTGCATGTATGCGTGTGAGCATTAGTGTGTGCTTACATTCACGTTTCCAGATGTATATGTGTTTATAATATCCAGCAGCTGTCGCACTGCTGTCAGTATTCACTGTGTGATTGTCCTGCTGTGATTCAGGGAAATATCGGCACCTCAGACTCTCAGCAGCAAATCACCAAAGTTCAACTGGACAAAGATCTTCCAGATGCAGCATTCAGTAAGATATTTTATAGTTTTATTGGGTCTATTGAATTGAATTTTGCCAGTTTACAGATGATGGTGTGCACGTGTATAAATTAAACCTAAGCTAAAATGTTAAAATATCAGCTGTAAAAAAGATTCATCAGTTCTGATCCTAGCTGTCACAAGGTTAACTTTAGAAACAGAAGAACCATTTCTCTACAGACAGTGTTGTGATGGAGTGAACCACAGCACTTTTAGGCATGAATATTTTGACAGCATGTGTTCAGGAGCAGAACCAATTTGGTTTACAATAGCAGTTTGCACAGGCTGGAGCCAGGCTAACAGAATACATGGATACAGACGAGTCCGTGCGTTTGCAATTTAGTGTCTTGTTAGAGCTGTGGGTGACAAGAATCTCAGTCTTGATCATGGGTCTGTAGTTGGATTTAATCATGACCAATGTTAAAAAGCACAGTAGAAAGACAGGCCTTTGTTTTCAGTGTTTTGTTTTATTTCTTTGAATTTCTTTAAAAATAAAATAGACTTATAATTTGTTTTAGGATTGTATCTGTATTCATTCCATAAGGTTTACAGCTGCTTATGTTAAAACACATTTGACAAAAAGTGACACATATACAGTCTGTGAATGTGTGTTTTGTTTCCACTACAAGACTAGATATGTACCTGATAGAGATCACACAACATTAACAGTGGCCAAGCTTCATGTATGGCTGAATGGAAGTGTTGCTGCTGCATTAGAAAAAAAAAAGTCATCAGTTTGTCATCTCTCATCTCCCCATTTATATGTTTGTGAGACACAAATCTGTTGTTGTCTCACACGATACGGATACTTGTTTTATTAAAATTAAGTGCATTATATTTATTTGTATTATTCATTGAGTAAGTTCTGTGGCCTCAGTTTGCATGCCCCTCTTCATGGAGGGAACAGAATCAGATGTTATGAGATCTTTAGTAGAGTTTAGACCAGGCTTGAATTTTCTTTGTTATCTGCAGTATGTTTATGAAAAACCATGTTAAGTTTGGAATCAAACTAATAAAGGGGAAACTCCAGCTTTAGTCAGAGAGAAAAAATGTTTTTGCTTGCAGGGTGTTTATTGTGTTGCTTACACTAACAATCCTCAAGGTTGTGAGACATTGTTGCTTTAAAGGCGTATTCATAACACTGCATAGGAAATGACAAGCTGTGTTATGTCTGTGTTGCAGGAGGGCTACTGGGAGTTAACCAAACAACTGGGAGAAGTTATAAATGTCAATGTCGACCTCTTTGCCAACGAGTACCTGAAAAGCAAGGGCATCAATTCTCTAGGTGAGAACTGTCGGCACCTGCTTCAGGTCTGTCTCAGATCATTTGCACCAATCGTAAAGCAGATGGACAGAAATACATCATTTACTGAAGTAAAGGTAGCCTAATGTAAAAACACTAATTACTTAATAGTTAACAAATAAAAGGACTCAATGTTCTCAAGCACGTTGCGTAAACATTTTTTAATTACTTGGAGGTTTGTCTGTTTCCTACTGAGGAGTTTTAACTGCGTCATGTTGATCCTTGAAGTCAAAGGCTTGTGACAAGAAGTTCGCAGGTTAAATTCCCACACTGACCGGATTTAATCCGGGTGAGAAAAGGGAAATAACGTTTAATCAAATCCGCATCAACACCATTGTGGTACCCTTGTGTGACTGCGATCAGGGATCAGGGAGTTCCTGTAAAAGAAAGCTCGCCTCTCAGTGAAACTAACCTAAATAAATAAAGGTTAAAAAAAAATCAAACCTCTTTCTGTCTTCAAACTACAACAACAGCTGCTTTTTTTCCTATTCCAAAAAACTTAATGAAAAGTTGAAATGTAAAGTATCATCATTAATGGAAGTATTTGAGATGGGTACAATTAACAAAACATAAACATGGTAGAAAGCAGGTGAGTTCTCAGGGGAGGCTCTGCGCTGCTTTGAACAGACTTTGTAAGCATTGTAACATTGCCACAAACATTTTCCAGTGGAAACTGGAAACTCCTCACTCCTGCAACGTGCGTGCGTGCTTGCGTGTGTGTGTGTCATAGGTGTGAAGGCCCATGCAGACATCCTGAGACTGGTGGCAACTCTTCTGGTTCTGCAGCTGATGAGGGTGGAGAAGCTGGAGGAAGGAGAACTGCTCCGCACCCTCTTCTGCCTGAACGACTCTCAGCCCAGGTCTGTCCTTAACCACACACGACAACATAACGATGGTGAAATGAATGACTTACTTTGTACAAACACGTTGACTGGGTCTAAACCTGAAGGCACACACTGCAAGCCAAACACATGTTCAAAACGGGGGACATGGACAAGTGTCTTCTGTTAATGAAGCATTCAAAAATACGAGACATGATCAATCCAGAATGGAGCATAAAGTCTTGCATTGTCAGAGGAGGAACTGTCAGAGGAACCAAGCTATACGTGCATCACCACTTTATACAAACACGACCTTGTGCAGATGTCTATATTAAGTGACATGTATAATTAGCTGAGGCTGTGCCGATTTTGTGATGTGTAAAACTTGATGATACTGTAAAGAATGACAACATTATTAGGCAAAACACAAACATATGCATAAACTCAAAGCTCTTAATGTGAGTCTTTTTCTGCTTGTTTTCTGCTGTGGATGATTTTTGTAAACCTCTTTTGGTAACGACTTGGTTTTTCTCTCAGGCCCGAGCGGTGGGAGAAGGTGAAGAAGGCGGTGGATTGGGTTTGCTGGGCGGACAAGCAGTACCCGTGTGTCTACACCCGGCTGGAGTTTGGTCTGAGCTGGGAGTCATCCACCCGTCAGCTGCTGGGCTACGAAGTCCTCCCGCCCTTCTCACCTCTCTGTGGTCTGAACCTACAGGGGACTGCAGACTCCGAGGTTCCTTCATACAGTTTGAGTGAAATTCAAACCAGTGTTTGAAGGGGTGAGATTATCTTTTAGACTCAATTTACATAGATATGCATGCATTTCTTTGCCCTATATAAATCACTTTGAACCGTCTCTGTCAGTGTGTTTACAGGCACTTAAATAATCACATAGTCGTCTTTCTGCAGCAAACTTATTTCTTAAACACCATTTCCTTAGTCTTGGTGGGAGACTGAAGATTTGTCTTGTGAGATTTCTCCTTAAGAAAAAGTGCTGTAAAAAATACAACATTGGCCACAATATACACAGCACAATATTTCAGTCTTTTCTGAATATTTACCAACACAGTAAAAACATTCATATGCAGGTGCCACACAGCAGCAGTGGAGCTCCAGACAAACAGGAACATCACCTCAACTTTCATCAAGACACCATGCCACCAAGACTTGAGGGGAGGCGCTACCCAGTATTAGTTTGTTGTTCCTAATAAAGTGCTCAGCGAATGTATACCGATTAACTGGGTTTCTAATCACCTTTTGAAAAGTATCACTGACTAAAACTGAACCTAGAAGTCTATAAGGTCAGAGCAGTGGTTATCTGTGTCACCAGGTTTCTGTCTTTGAATGCATGTACATGTATGGTGCATTTTAAAGGTATTTTTTAAAACTTTCTTACTTTACTGCACGGTAGAAGTTGAAAATTAAGGAAATAGAAATGTAGAAAGGTATGACCATAGTTACAGGAAGTATCGATGTACTGATGCCTATCAAAGATACAATACAATTAGCAGACATTGTAGATGAAATCATGTAGTTTTGTATTTTGTGAGGGACCCACTATGGAGTTGGCTGCACACAAACTTTCAAACATGGGAAGGAAAAGCTAGATGAATGCCTGAAAAATACTGTTTCTGCATTAGATGCGTTTTAACAAGATTCAGCTTGAACAGACTGTTTTATGATCAGAAGGCTGCAATAAACACCTTCCTAAAAAATTATTGTGAAATGTCAACTCTGTATGATAATGATCAGCAGATGGCAGAGCGTTTCAGATGGGGCTTTTTATGATCTGTAACTGTAATTTGGAGATCAGTGGTTTGCACAGGACATATGCAGTGTATATTCTGATAGAAATTACAAAAACTTAATTGCCTGTAACAGATTTGCACTATTAGATAGCTGCCTTCATCAAGTGTCACTCCTGTTCTTCGTTGTGGCTGTGGTTCAGATTGTGTGTGTATGATCATGAACAGAATTAAAATCTTCTAAAATGTTCAAGTGTCTTATTATCTCTTCTTTTGTTTACCATTATATTAAACATTATTTTCTGCAGCTCTGTGGAAGGTGCGCGGCTGCTGCATGGGTCAGTAAGTTGATGTCTCTCTATTTAACATAATGGTTTAAATGACACAATATACGAGGGTCCAGCTTCACAACATTCACCTCAGAGGCTTCATGAGCTGTGAAAAGTCAGGGGAACACCACGGTTCATCCTGTAGGGGACATTAACGTCTGTGCCATCGAACAGCTGTTAAGAACACACTCAACCAAAACAGCCTTATGGTGGTGGAGGAGGAAAAAGCGACACTTCTGCAGTTGATCAAGTTGTATAATAAAAAAAGGTCAGTTTAGGGGGTATTGCCTAATTGCATTGACCTACTTGTGCTAAATGTAAATGTATGTTGACGTTTGTGAGCTCTTTCTTCATTACCCAATGCTGTCTAAACGCTGTTTGCATGTTATTGTCCCATTAAATGAAGACTTGCAATTCAATTCAGCAGAACAAAGCATCAGTTTGTTCCATTGTCCAACTTGTACAATAAAAATACAACAAGGAACAACTGCAACGGCAGTAGCCTAAATTAACTTGAAAGTGGCACAAGTAATGTGGTTGCTCTCTTTTCTTCATTGATCTGTGGCATCTGCCCGCATTGCCACCTCTCCATCTACTATCTCAGACACTGCATATGTCCGGGCAAAGGGGAAAATAGTAGTAATTCTGATACTAAAATAAAAATACTAAAAAAAACAATTTGAAGTAGTAAAACTAGCTCTGACCGAGTAAGTACATGATGACGAAAATAAAATAAACTCAACATGTCCAGAGATCGTTAAACAGTGAGCTTGTTTACAGTTAGCCCAGGCAGTTAACCAGTAAACGTTAGCCTAGCGTTAGCCTAGCGTTAGCCTGGCATCAGGGTACTTGCCTTGTTAGTCGAATAAGTAGTTTTCGACAAAGAACTTGATGTTAATGAAAACATTTCGACGATTCTGTTGATATCAGCCATTGTAGTCTTCGGAAAGTTGTGGAGTGACTCTTTGAAAATAATTTTGGTTTTACCGATCGTCCGCAGGCACTGAAGTTTGCCGGATGTAAACATCCACGGGATTTAACTACTTCCGTTTTCGTGACGCGCAGCGTGAAAAGGGCTCATCACTATCTGCACTCTGTTTCCGCTCTGATTTATTTTTTGTGGCCCTTGGCCGGAAGTTGTGATTTGTATCTTTCTGCCGCTTAAACTCTGTTTTCCGGTGTTTGTCTGCTCGCCGCCATTGTAGACCCACAATGCTGTTTACCAATTGTGTCACAACTAATATGACTTGCTCCTCAGTTCATATGGAGTATTCATTTGGACATTGCTGTTATTTATTCCCGAGGTGCTATATGTGAGTGTTTTAATTAGAAAGTTAATTCGCAACTAACCAGCTAGCTCCGGCTCGTTCCACCTCGGTTATCCTGGTTGCAGCTGACTGAGTTAAGTAATGGTAAATGAAATTAATTTCAAGTTTAAAAAAAAACGTACTCAATACCGTATAGTGAAGAGCAGCCTAAAATGTTCTGTTTCCCAGCAATGGAAAGTTTATTTTATCTAGTGTAATTGTGTTTTCATAGGGATGCCAGAGCCCATCGCAGGCCAGTAGCACACTTTACCACAACCAGCAACAAATGGTAAGTCTTACTACACCCCACACATTGGAGTCAAAAGGATTTTGAACTTGTAAAGTGATGTTGACAAATAATTCCGAATGTAGTTGTATATCAACCTTTTGTCAACGATTGTGTACATATAAAACGAAGGAAACTGAACTAAGCCTTTCAGGATATGCTGTGGATATGAAGGAACAGAACCACCTGCCCTCTGATCAGACTGTCATTGTCCAGTTAGATTCAGGTGTAAAATAGGGTCAAAATTCTACTTGTAATTCTACTTCTACTATATATATAAACTTGCTGTCTCTAATTTGTTTTTAAGGAACTTACTGTGATATAGTGGTCAAGTAGTGAGGAACTACTCGATAACAACTTTGATGTACCACTGACCAAAGCTCTACAAACTGAAAACGACCACTTAATCCACAACCAAGGAAAGGAAGTTTTAACATAGCCTGCTTTATGCTGAGAAATGTGGTGTCAACATATGCATGTTAGTTTAGCAGTAGATGGTTTTTAAAAACCAACTCTAACTGTTGTTAGCTGTAGCTACTGTTAAATGCCACCTTGTGCTTGAACTAGCAAATTTATATTGGTCAATTTTCTTACTTTTCTATTAGCAGTATATGCCAAATGAATTATTAATAAATCTCATACATCCTTACAATGCTCCTAAAGAAGAGCTGCTTAAAATGTCCTTGTTTGCCCTGAAAAGGAAAGTCATTTTATTTAATATGATTACCACGGTGTTTTCATTGGGATGCCACAGTCCAACTTTGGCCAGTACCACTTCTTATCATCCCCCCACAACCAGCAAGAAAAGGTAAGTCAAGCAAATGACTCCACCTCATACATATATAGGCTCAAATTAGGTTCAAAATTATTTTGAGCTTGAAAAGTGATGTTCACAAATAATTCCAGTGTTTGTAATTGTAAATCAACATTTGTAAACCTGTAAAATAAATCTGTACAAGAAATTCAAGTTTGTGCATGTGAAAAATTGTGCTCATGTCGACGCAATTTGTATTTGTTAAAAAGTCTGAATCAGACAGAACAAATTTTCAGGGTTGAGGTTAAACAAAGACACTGTAAAAGGAGAAATGGTTTTGTCAACATCTGTGTTGCGATACATAACAAAAAACTGTAAAACTCTGGTCAAAAGTTCCCACAGTGTGTGACACTGAAGTTACAAGGATCAAAATTTTTATTTTTCAGTGTCACACTGGGAATGTTGCACGCTGAGTTTTGCAGCATTTCTTCTTTCCCTGTGTCTTTGTTTAATGTCACCACTCATCATTTGTTCAGTTTTGATTCACAATCTCTTTTTTTTTTAACAAATACTAATCTCTTCTCATGCAGATTTATTTTATTATTTTCATTTTGATTAATCTCTGCAGGGACCTGGCAGCTCCTTATTTCACAACGATGATGTTTATATTTAAAGAAAGTTCTCTAAATCTGTAAATTGAAACGACTTTACACATCTGCATCTTTTCATCTGACTGCTATTACACAGAAGTAGAACAAAAACCAACGCCTGTGAAACCTGTGACTTCCTCAGAGGTTGAAACTCAACAGCAGCTTCATCGTTTATACTCTGTGTACTATTGTTCGTGTTGCAGCACTGAGCTTCCAGGAAACGGTCGTCCTAATGAGCAATGGAGGAAATCTATAGCAATGTTCCACAATTGAAGCCTGTCAACCCAAAACCCTCAACAAATCCGACAGGTAAGAACAATCAGACTGAGCTGTGTATGGATGTATATTATCATCTGTCAATATACTGTTGTGTAATTTACTGTCCTCTCTGGTCTGTTCAGGTCCGAGCTCTGAGAGGAGATTTCATGGAGTCGTTCTCATTCTGGGCTTGCTGAGTGTTTTCCTGCTGGTTGGGCTCATCAGCCTCGGTGTCCGCTGTGAGTTTGGTTTTCTCTGAAAGATGCGCCTGCAGATTACCCCAGCAGAACACGTTTGTCTATTGGAAGAATTCAGCAGTTACCAGGATGTTTTACTTGAAGAGTGAAACGATAAAAAAGGAAAATCTGATTTTGAAAAAAAAATGGCTGCGATCTCTAAAAACTTTCCCATCTCATGGCTCTCCTCATAACGATGTTAGCAAACCATAAATTATGAGCCATGTTTTCCTGTTTTTTTGGTGCTGCATGCTACTGGCCAGCGCATTTGTCATTGATTGTTACCGTGGTAACATAGGTCTTAGGCCTGAGCTATCCTCGGTAAGGTGTCTTAATGTTTTTGGCTTAAAATTAGCAAGTCTTTAATTTTATTAGACTCGTCTGTGAGCTCTTAACTTGGTGACAGTCTCAAGGAAAAACCTCAAGCAGAACCAGGAAAAAGACGAGGAGATATTATCACACTAGATCAGTGTTTAGATTTGTTGTCTCTCTCCTGATGACAGCTGTGCTGGATTGGTCCACTGAGACATAACTGAGCTTCACTTCAGCTTCTGATGGATTGCTTAAACATAAATTTTGATTCTTAAACATACCTCTCATAACCCTGAGGCAAAATCTGAAAATATTTTGACTTTTGACTAAAAGATTGATGCATTCATGTTGACACTGTTAGTGAATGCATTAAGTATTTCAGCATTTATCTCGATTTCTTTCAGACCGTGACTCAGTACGTGATTCAGTCAACCTCACGGAGCATCTCCAGGCCAGTGATGAAGAGAGAGACCTGCTGATTGCCAATCTGACTAAAGTGACTAAAGAGCTGACCAGGCTTCAGCGTTTGTCCAAACAGAGTGAGTGCCTGCCTGTGTGGTTTCTGAACAGGTGTCCCTTCATAAAAAGGTCATTTATAGAGCACCATGATCCAGAGAACATGGTCATATAACACTGTCAGATCCTACTCTCAGCTCTGTAAACCATACTTTTCCACTCTGAATCTTACCAGCATTAGTTTCCCAACTAAAAACTCTAAAATAAAAAATATACACGAATATAACATTTCCACTCAGCATCATGTTTTATTCTGCCCAGCAGCAGGTGTCAGTTATGACCACACGGATCCTCAGTTCTTCATTTGAAAGACTTTCACTTCCTCACAAGACTCTGATCTATTTAATGCAACTTCTTTACGTCCAAGCTGCACACTTTTTACTCTCCAGGAATTTCCCTTTTGTTCTTCTGATGTGGATCCTTTGTTGTTAGAAATAGGTTCTTAGTCATTTGACCAACAGCAGCAAGTAACTGGTTCTGGTAACAGGTATTTTGTCCTATTCTGGGATTTAGCTGTTTTGCTTCATTGTACATTCTATAACACAGCTGTGAACTTCAGGTGCTAATGCATTGAAAACATTGTCATGTGTTGAACCCACACCACAACCTCTATAATACCCTGTCTGATCTTTAGGGGCTTTTGTTTGACTCATCTTACAGAGAAAACGTGTCCTGCAGGATGGAGGGTGCTCGGTTGTTCCTGTTATTTCCTCTCCGTTCAGTCTGGTTCCTGGGGAAAAGGCAGACAGGACTGCAGAGCCAGAGGAGCAGATCTGGTGATCATAGACAGTCTTAAAGAACAGGTAGTGTGTGCTACTTTCTCTCTTTTATGTGGAGTTTTTCCTTGAATCAGTCTAAATATCATACCTGCAAACTTGTCACCTTCCAGTGAAATTTGCTGTTTCGAATAGGAACAAATTGGTGTATGGCCTGATTCCTGTGTGTCATATGCGCCAGATCGTCACTGTAAATGTCCTGGAAGAGTCCTGGAAAACTCTTTCTGGAGAAGAGAAGGAACCTTGCCCTTATAGATGCTGTAACTGCAAAAAGGAGGAGGATTTTCTACAACATGGCAACCCATAAATTAGATAGATAGATAGATAGATAGATAGATAGATGATAGATAGATAGATAGATAGATAGATAGATACTCTATTTATCCCCTAGTGGAAATTCATGTGTCTATTAGCTCATTGTTGATAATAATATTTAAAACAGTTAATAATAAGTAAACAATAATAATAAGATCAGTCCACTTCCTTTGGCTGAGGTGTTGTACAGCCGGATGGCAGTGGAAACAAAGGATCTCCTGAACCTCTCTGTTCTGCAGCGCAGTGAGATGAGATGTTTGCTGCTTCTCTGTCCTGCCAGAATGTTGTGGAGAGGATGGTTGGTATTGTCCAAGATGGCCTCCATCTTACATTGTACGCATCTCTCCACAACAGTCCTGAGTGAGTCCAGACTCCTGCCAAGCACAGACCCAGCCTTTTTGACCAGCTTGTCCAGTCTCCTTGTGTTCATGTCGGACATGCTGCCGCCCCAGCAGACTGCAGCATTAAAGAGTACACTGGCCACCAGTCACTAATAAAACTTGTGCAGCATTTCACTGTAAACATCAAAGGACCTGAGCTTCCTGAGGAAAAAGAGCCAGCTTTGCCCCCTCTGGTAGATGGCATCTGTGTTATAAATTATGCCTCATCAGAAAGTGGTGCCAAAACACGTCCTGTCTGCGCATTTGCCAGGAACATGCATCTTGTTTCAGTTGTACAGAGTACATAGAAAGTTAAAAGAATCAGTTTTGGCTTTGCAGGGAAAGGGAAGGGAGGGGAAACTTTGAACCTTAAAAATATTGTTGAGAGCAAAGGAGGAAGTCGAGTGTAAACAGTCAGTGTGGGGGGTGGGGGTTTTTGGATGAATGGACGAGCCAACATAACACAAGGCTTTAACAAAGGTTTCATAACAATCATCAACAGTCATCAACAGTCATCTTTGGTCCATGACCTTTACCACAGCTTTAACTGTGTGTTTGTTATGGAACCATGATGACGAAGATCCAACGCATGTTATGTCAGGACACTGTGGTCATCCAGGTTGGAGGACTTGACAGGGTCATGTAGCTTTGCTGAGCAACTTGCAGCCTTGTGACACGGGGCAGTGGTTCAGTGGTGGGCTCAGGTCAGGACCCAACACTATATACAATAGAAATCCAGGCTTTCTTCCCTTTATCTTGAACAGGAATTCCTCACTAAAGACATCGTCAAGCAAGAAAGCTGGATTGGTTTGACCGACAGAAACAATGAGATGACCTGGAAATGGATTGATGGAACTCCACTTACTCTGAAGTAAATCATACAATAGACTAACATCTCTACCCATGTGTACAACAACAATGTTGACTTGGGGAAAATTATGTGAAACTTCACTTTCTTATTAATCTCCTAGGTTCTGGCAAAAAGGGCAGCCGGATAAGGGTAATGGAAATCCTAAGTGGGGTGAAGAGGACTGTGCAGTTATCCAACCAGGGATGAAAGCTGATGAGAACTGGAATGATCTGCGGTGTGATGCCTCTAGGCCATGGATCTGTGGAAAAGCTCTTTAGCATAAAATGAGTTTTGAAATAATACATGTTTAAATACTTTTTTTTACCATGTACATTAAGATTGTGCAAAGGGCCTTTGCTTGTGTGACTGAATGTGTGACAAATAAAGAGAGAGAGAGACGTACACTCACATTTACTGCTTTGGGTAATTTAGACTCATCAATTCACCGAACTAGTGAGAACCCTTTCTTACTTCATACCTAATAGCACAGTGAATTGATTTCCATGTAACTGTAAAGAACTTTAGACTGTTGTACTTTATCATTTCACTAAGCATCAAATTGTTGAGACCACAAATTTCCCGTTGCGGTTGCAAATCATTTGTATCAACCCACATATCAATATACAGTGCTGCTTGAAAGTATGTGAACCTTCCAGACATGGTCACTGTTTTTGTAAAAAACATTAAAAGAACCTTATTTAACAGACATCCAAATCCTAATTTGTAAAGCACACTTTCCAAATACTGGACACACACACAAAAAGAGATATTTTTCCATTATGTAGTTCAACAAATGTGGTTTATTTCACAAACACTGAAAATGTAACATGTGCAAAAGTATGTGAACCCTTCCATTAGTAGCTTGTGGCTCCTCCTTTTGCAGCCATTACTTCAACCAAACGTCTTCTGTAACCTCTAACCAGTCTCTCGCATCTGCTCATGGGGATTTTTGCCCACTCCTCCTTGCAGAACTCAGCCAGTTGAGAGAGGTTGGAGGGACATCTGGCATGTACCATCTTCTTCAGGTCTCGCCACAACATTTCAATAGGATTTAGATCTGGACTTTGACTGGGCCAATCCAGAGTACGAATCCTCTTTCTCTGAAGCCATTCCTTTGTAGTTTTGCTGGAATGCTTCGGGTCATTGTCTTGTTGCATAATCCATTTTCGTTCCAGCTTCAACTGTTTGACTGATGGCAGGAGATTCTGGTCAAGAATTTGTTGATATGCCTGAGAATTCATGGTTCCCTGGATAATATGGAGTCGCCCAGTTCCAGAAGCAGAGAAGCAGCCCCAGATCTTCACATTTCCACCACCATGCTTCACTGTAGGGAGGAGGTTCTTTTCTTCATTTGCAGTGTTGGCTTTTCTCCAAACATGGCGGTTTTGATTGTGACCAAATAACTCTACTTTAGATTCATCTGTCCAGAGAATGGACTCCCAGAAGGCCTCTGGTTTGTCTAAGTGCTCTTTGGCAAAGTTGAAACGGGCAGCTTTGTTCTTTTTTGAGAGCAGAGGCTTCCTTCTAGCAACCCTCCCATGAATGCCATGGCTATTCAATTTTCGTCTGATCGTAGACGCATGCACATTTGTCCCAGATGCTACCAGAGAGGTCTGCAACTCTGTAGAGGTGATGTGTGGGTTGGCCTTTACCTGATTTATTATTTTTCTGGTGGCTCTGGGTGATAGTTTTGATGGGCGCCCACTTCTAGGCAGAGTTGCTGTCATGTTGAAGGCCCTCCATTTGTAAATTATTTGTCTTACAGTCGATGGATTGAGCTGGAATCTTTTGGAGATGGTCTTATATCCGTCCCCAGACTGATGGGCTGTCACTACCCTCTTCTTCATGTCCTCGGATATCTCCTTTCCTCTTTGCATTGTTGATGTGTATGGGACCAAGTTGGTTTGGTTGGTTTCCTCTCTCTTTTAATTAGTGCAGGCCAATCCCTTTCCCAAGGATGTCTCATTTCATTGGTCTACTGAAATGATTAATTAAGCACTCAAATGTATTTCACCTGAGTCTGTTACCTGCTTGACTTAACCAATGCAGCTGGGGATTCACTTACTTTTGCACATGCACTAATTCCATGTTTCATGTAGTTTTTGGGCTACTTAAACAAGTTCCACTAAAAAAGTACAAGCAATTGATGAAACATATATCTGACATTTCATACATAAAAACTGGTGATGATAAAATAAAATCATGGTAAACAACAGAAACATCTGAACTGCTCAAGGGGTTCACATACTTTCAAGCAGCACTGTATATCTTATGCACTTAGATTGTACTCTAATCTTATACGTTCATGTGCTTAGTATTACAGCATATACTCGTGTTTCTTCCAAGTTCTGTGGAAACAGTGATAGAGGTGTGACTAGGAATGTGTTAACTCTGCGGTCCAGAAGTCAGCTTATGATGACCAGGATAAGAGTTCTGGGAGAGGGGCCAGAGATTGTGAAGCATAGTTATTGAGAGAGGGACTGCTTCCTAAGAACTTGATAATCATATTACGCAGGGATCAGAAATTCTTTGATCCACTCCACAAAAGGTATGAATTGGAGACACTCGGGGAGCAACTGTCAGCAGATACTTTGTCATCCAGCGCTTGTTTAAATGAACTATACTCTGAATTGGCAAGACTGTCTCAAGAATAATCTTTAAACTACTACACCGTTTTAAGCTGTGGAACGGTTTTTATCTATTTCTTTTTTTTTTTTTTACCACCTGTCACTTCCTCAGAACTTCAGAGGAAATACTGAATCCAACAAGAGTTTAGTCATTTACATGCAGGATATCTCGTGCTGCAGCTGATCCTTGTGTAGTCGGTATCAATGGAGGAAATCTACATCAATGCAAAGCATGAGAGTCGAGAGTCAAGAATTTTATCAAATCAGCCAGGTAATAATTGTCAGTCAGTCAGATTTGAGAATAAATCTGTGTAATCATCTGTTGTTACTGTATTTACTCACTGGTCTTTTCTCTGTTCAGGTCCCAGGAGCTCTGAGAGGAGATTTCATGGAGCTGTTGTTGTCTCTGTGAGTCTGCTGAGTGTTCTCCTGCTGGCTGGGCTCGTTGTCCTCTGTGTCCACTGTGAGTCTGGTTTACTCTGAGAGATGCACCTGTTTCACCACAATGTCTTTTTGCCATTCTGGCTCTTCTGTGATCTATTGTTCTTTCGTGACTTTTTTTTTTGCTTATTGTCCTTTTAACAGACTTTTTAGATCTGTCTGAGCACCACCAAAAAAAGAAGAAGTTAAAAGTCAAAGTGAATTCATGATTATAGGATGTTTATTCTGCTCTCTTTTTTTTTCTATTCACCCCCTACCTCAGTTTTCTCACAATCTTCAAAACGAATCCAAACAACTAAATCAAAACAAAAAAAGACAGAATTGTTTTGGTGCAGATTCTCATTTCAGCATTTAACCTCACTTTCCTTATTGCCTCACTGTCTGCCAAATGAGTAAATGTAAATTTAAGCATGAACCTTTAGTTGACTTGTGATCATCTTTCATAATCACGGGGCAAAATAAGGAAATATGTGATCTTGTGAAATGCAGTAACTGTGTGACATGAATGCAGGTGTGTCTTTGTATCTTGTGGTTCAGTGCATGATTCGGCTGCAGAGCTCTCCACTGTCAAAGCCAACCTGACTGAGCATATCCGGATCAGTGATGACAAGTTCTCATCCCTGACTGAAGAGAGAGACCTGCTGAAAGCCAGGCTCGCTGAAACCACCAAAGATCGGGACAGGCTTCAGAGATTGTCCAAACACAGTGAGTCCTTACTGCTGTCTGGGATGTATAAATCAAACGTTTTTAACTCAGAAATTCAGTTCTGGCACCGTGCATTCTCTGATTTAAGTTAATGATGAAAATCTAGTCTCTACATTGTTTTACGCTCTTCAAGGAGGACAGATTCTACAGTTTTTATACTGAATGTCAAATTGCCAAACTGCTGACTGCTATCTATCACTTGCTTAGCCAGTTTGGGAAGCTAATACCTGCTTAAGTATCGCCATGGCGATTCTTCCTCAGGAGGTTTATCCATGATGACAAGGGATGGGAATTGATAAGACTTTATTGATAATGATGCCATTATTGATTCTGCTTGTCGATCCGATTCTTTATCGATTCCTGTGGATTTTCTTTGTTGTTGCTGGTGGTTCCAGTAAAAGCTGAAACTATCCAACAAAGTCATACCAACCAAACGAGCATCATTATTTGTGGCGTTAAAAAGTCTCTCATTGAAAACACTGACATCAGCAGAATTATCTTCACAGCCAGAAGTGTTTTTGATCTTTGAAATGCCTCTTGTTGTGTCTCTTCTGCAGAGAAAACGTGTCCTGCAGGATGGAGGATGTTCAGTTGTACCTGTTATTTCCTCTCCACTCAGTCTGGTTCTTGGGAAAAAGCCAGAGAGGACTGCAGAGCCAGAGGAGCAGATCTGGTGATCATAGACAGTCCTGAGGAGCAGGTACTGTGTGTGTGTGTGTGTGTGTGTGTGTGTGTGTGTGTGTGTGGTTAAACTCAAACACTGTATAATATGGTTTCTTTATATTTACCAGACGTTTCTTTCTGGATTCATCTCTACATTCACTTGGATCGGTTTGAGTGACAGAGAGGAGGAGGGGGTCTGGAAATGGGTGGATGGAACTCCACTGAACCTGACGTGAGACTGTTTTTACTTTATTGACACAAGTAATGTAAAGAAACAAAAAGGGTACAAGATGATCTGGATGGACAGTTACAACATGTGACAAACAAAATTTATATTTATTTTATTTTTACTTTAATCAGGAGAATGAGATCTATTTTTCATGAGAGACCTGAGAACAAAAAAAACATTCATAATCAGACAAACACAGCTGGCAACCAGATATAACACAAGACTAATAAAAACAACAGTGTCTGTTTGCACCTGGGTGAAAATAGTCATGCGGCAGCTATTCGGCTATTTACACCTGTATGGATCCCAATAAAAATCAGTGTTAAACGTCTGTGAGGTTTGCCTGTACAAGATGAACAGTGCCATGATGCTCTTGTTCCCTGACCTCCCAGGTACTGGGCAGTAAAGCAGCCTGATAATGGTGGTGGAGACCCAAAGTGGGGTGAGGAGGACTGCGCACATCTCGGACATGATGGGAGCGCACATCTCACACATGATGAGAGCGCACATTGGAATGATCTGTCGTGTGGTTCTCGCTTGCGGTGGATCTGTGAAGAAATGGCATGACACTGTTAAATATGCTTTTAAAGTGTGAGCTTTGATAAAGCAAAGCTTTTTTAGTAAAGACTGCTCTTGTATGTTTGTTAAAAAACGTAGCTCTGCGTATGTGTTTGACTCTGCTGAAGACTATACTGTATATATTCCAATGTCAGACTTTTCACTTTCTAACATTGCAGCTTTAGGATAATAAAGAATAACAAAAAGAAAACATACATAATTATCCAAAGTAATGTTTTTGGCTGGACCTGCCACGGTGCAGCGCGACATTCCTTGAACGTCCGTGAGAGAGTGTTGGAGGCCGTAACACCTTCAAAATGATTTGGCACGAACATTTTCTCTTACGTCATCAGGATTGGTTTACAGCCGATCCACAACAGTTTCGGTTCACACTGTGGCTTCATATGACATGTCGCACTCCGAGGAAGTTCTGCGCGTCTTCTCTCTTAACTTGCTGCAAGATGAATTTGGGCATTAAACTGAAAACTGCTTCTAATTTGGTGCATTTGACAAGTAGATAACTTTTTGAATTCAGTGTTTGGATTATGTTTTTTTTTCTCATAAAATATTTGTAGTTCTGTGAGAAATTGTGCGTTTCCTGTTTAAGCTTTCTGTTTCTGTGCACAAGAGGACGATGTTTAAATGGAAGTGAGCAGCTGATGGTAGATAAGCTATTCTAGCTCATCTGAAACTTCCTGAAAGGCTAAACTTCAACACACAGCCCAGTGTTTGGTCGTCATCCACTTATATAGGATGACTGCACAAAATTAAAATGAACATGCAGATTCCTTTTGTTTATTATTTTGTATTTCCTCAGTGCAAATTCATGACATTCACATTTCTTCAGTTCTTGTTCCTATTGTATTTTTTTCATTTTCTTTATATAAAACATAGTCCTTTATTGCTCTGTGCATGGCTGGAGATGGGGGGAATAAATAAGAAGAATAAGAGTAAAAGTTTTTATTCTGTAAAGCAGTTTGTGTCACGTTTTGTATGAAAAGTGCAGTACTAATAAAGTCTTATTGATTGCTTGACCATGTTTAAATACAGTAAGTTTAAAAATACTGGAATCAAATTTAAATGAAATTATTTCTTGTAGATTTCTGTCTCCCCAAAGGTTGCGTAAGATCCCCAGAAAAAAAAAGACAGGGGACGTAACCCAGAGGAAATGCTGTAGATGAACCAACATGTGATTTGCTTGGTCCACCATTAAAAAATATAAAGGATATTCATTGTGTAAAGAAACACCAACAAACAGCCAGTCAGCACAAAACTGAGAAGTCGCGCCCTCGACCAAATCAATTTCAGGCATCTTCACCGGCCCTCATGATAAGTCTCTATGAAGCTTGTGGCCCCGAACTCAGATTGAACAACAGAAGTTCTCACTCCACTGAGCGAACAGCCAGCGAGCGCTCGCCAGCACCACTGCTCTCCTGCTCCGTCGTCACCATGACGACTCTGCTGTTGGCCTCTGCTCTTCATCTGCCGCCCCTGCTCCTTACCATGCTTCCTGCAGTTCCCTCTGGTGAGTGCAGCTCACTGATGTGGTTCAGAGGTTTATACGTCTCTTATTTACCACGCAAGTGTCCAAACGGTGTCACGCTCTCTTCTTCCAGGCTCTCCACGTCACCTTGTGCTGAAATTAGGACCAAACTAGTGCCGCAGATCCCAGCCTTCAGCCCTCTGAGTGGCTATGATGAGTGCCAGTATACGGTATGAACCAGTCTCCAAAATCTCTTCCAATGAATAGATGTAATATATTTATCAGTGTCTCTGTTATAATTCCTGTTCCAGCTTGTGTCAGCCACCCCTCTAACCATCCAAGCCAACCACAAACCAGGACCACTTTATTTCAGATAGACCAGACTTGAAATGTATGCTGCTCTGTTTACAATATGAAAATTAGTTTTTGTTTAGATTATTTATTTCTGTGGTTATACTTTACTTCAAAGTATAAAATTCAATTTATTCAGTCTATATGAAGGAATAGTAGGAATTAATGTGTAACGATCTGATTTCCATCCACCTGTGTTTGTGAATGACTGTTTTTGATTCTTGGAGCTGACCAATGAACGGGCTTGACTCGGCTACGGACTCTCCACCTGTAACGCCTAACGAGCTCAGGTGCTGAAGTTACACCTCGTTCAAAATGCCACTGTTTGTACCTTTCTTATAGAGTTGTTCATAGTGGAACAGCGTCCTCGTTAGTCGTAGTAGTATTAATTGAAAACTCATTAGTGCTGCCATAAATAACATTTTTATTGTTTTATTTTATTTTCTTCTAATCCCCTCCTATGTTACTGGCTTCTTATCTTCCAGCGTATTGGCTCTACCAGCTGCTAAAATGAAGCTTCTTGTTCTTACACAGCTGATTTTCATTGACCGCTCTTCTGCGTAGATAGATGTTTGATAATAATGTTGCTTTCAAAGGCTGTGGATGAGAATTGTTGCACAAACCTCTTTGCGCCTTTGTGACTTCCGCCTGAGTTAGTGAGAATGTGTCATGATTCAGAGCTGTCACTCTCTGAGAAAGCTGGACGCATTACGAGCGATGGAGGAAATCTATGTCAACGTTGAAGACATCAAACCTTCAATAAGTCAGACAGGTAAAAACATTCAGACAATGAGACTGAGAATAAATCTGTGTAATCATCTGTTGTTACTGTGTTTACTCACTGGTCTTTTCTCTGTTCAGGTCCCAGGAGCTCTGAGAGGAGATTTCATGGAGCTGTTGTTGTCTCTCTGAGTCTGCTGAGTGTTCTCCTGCTGGCTGGGCTCATCGGCCTCGGTGTCCACTGTGAGTCTGGTTTACTCTGAGAGATGCACCTGTTTCACCACAATGTCTTTTTGCCATTCTGGCTCTTCTGTGATCTATTGTTCTTTCGTGACTTTTTTTTTTGCTGATTGTCATTTTTAACAGACTTTTTAGATCTGTCTGAGCACCACCAAAAAAAGAAGAAGTTAGAAGTCAAAGTGAATTCATGATTATAGGATGTTTATTCTGCTCTCTTTTTTTTCTATTCACCCCCTACCTCAGTTTTCTCACATTTTTCAAAACGAATCCAAACAACTAAATCAAAACAAAAAAAGACAGAATTGTTTTGGTGCAGATTCTCATTTCAGCATTTAACCTCACTTTCCTTATTGCCTCACTGTCTGCCAAATGAGTAAATGTAAATTTAAGCATGAACCTTTAGTTGACTTGTGATCATCTTTCATAATCACGGGGCAAAATAAGGAAATATGTGATCTTGTGAAATGCAGTAACTGTGTGACATGAATGCAGGTGTGTCTTTGTATCTTGTGGTTCAGTGCATGATTCGGCTGCAGAGCTCTCCACTGTCAAAGCCAACCTGACTGAGCGTCTCCGGATCAGTGATGACAAGTTCTCATCCCTGACTGAAGAGAGAGACCTGCTGAAAGCCATGCTCACTGAAACCACCAAAGATCGGGACAGGCTTCAGAGATTGTCCAAACGCAGTGAGTCCTTACTGCTGTCTGGGATGTATAAATCAAACGTTTTTAACTCAGAAATTCAGTTCTGGCACCGTGCATTCTCTGATTTAAGTTAATGATGAAAATCTAGTCTCTACATTGTTTTACGCTCTTCAAGGAGGACAGATGCTACAGTTTTTATACTGAATGTCAAATTGCCAAACTGCTGACTGCTATCTATCACTTGCTTAGCCAGTTTGGGAAGCTAATACCTGCTTAAGTATCGCCATGGCGATTCTTCCTCAGGAGGTTTATCCATGATGACAAGGGATGGGAATTGATAAGACTTTATTGATAATGATGCCATTATTGATTCTGCTTGTCGATCCGATTCTTTATCGATTCCTGTGGATTTTCTTTGTTGTTGCTGGTGGTTCCAGTAAAAGCTGAAACTATCCAACAAAGTCATACCAACCAAACGAGCATCATTATTTGTGGCGTTAAAAAGTCTCTCATTGAAAACACTGACATCAGCAGAATTATCTTCACAGCCAGAAGTGTTTTTGATCTTTGAAATGCCTCTTGTTGTGTCTCTTCTGCAGAGAAAACGTGTCCTGCAGGATGGAGGATGTTCAGTTGTACCTGTTATTTCCTCTCCACTCAGTCTGGTTCTTGGGAAAAAGCCAGAGAGGACTGCAGAGCCAGAGGAGCAGATCTGGTGATCATAGACAGTCCTGAGGAGCAGGTACTGTGTGTGTGTGTGCGTGTGTGTGTGTGTGTGTGTGTGTGGGGTTAAACTCAAACACTGTATAATATGGTTTCTTTATGTTTACCAGACATTTCTTTCTGGATTCATCTCTACGTCCGAAACTTGGATCGGTTTGAGTGACAGAGAGGAGGAGGGGGTCTGGAAATGGGTGGATGGAACTCCACTGAACCTGACGTGAGACTGTTTTTACTTTATTGACACAAGTAATGTAAAGAAACAAAAAGGGTACAAGATGATCTGGATGGACAGTTACAACATGTGACAAACAAAATTTATATTTATTTTATTTTTACTTTAATCAGGAGAATGAGATCTATTTTTCATGAGAGACCTGAGAACAAAAAAAACATTCATAATCAGACAAACACAGCTGGCAACCAGATATAACACAAGACTAATAAAAACAACAGTGTCTGTTTGCACCTGGGTGAAAATAGTCATGCGGCAGCTATTCGGCTATTTACACCTGTATGGATCCCAATAAAAATCAGTGTTAAACGTCTGTGAGGTTTGCCTGTACAAGATGAACAGTGCCATGATGCTCTTGTTCCCTGACCTCCCAGGTACTGGGCAGTAAAGCAGCCTGATAATGGTGGTGGAGACCCAAAGTGGGGTGAGGAGGACTGCGCACATCTCGGACATGATGGGAGCGCACATCTCACACATGATGAGAGCGCACATTGGAATGATCTGTTGTGTGGTTCTCTCTTGCGGTGGATCTGTGAAGAAATGGCATGACACTGTTAAATATGCTTTTAAAGTGTGAGCTTTGATAAAGCAAAGCTTTTTTAGTAAAGACTGCTCTTGTATGTTTGTTAAAAAACGTAGCTCTGCGTATGTGTTTGACTCTGCTGAAGACTATACTGTATATATTCCAATGTCAGACTTTTCACTTTCTAACATTGCAGCTTTAGGATAATAAAGAATAACAAAAAGAAAACATACATAATTATCCAAAGTAATGTTTTTGGCTGGACCTGCCACGGTGCAGCGCGACATTCCTTGAACGTCCGTGAGAGAGTGTTGGAGGCCGTAACACCTTCAAAATGATTTGGCACGAACATTTTCTCTTACGTCATCAGGATTGGTTTACAGCCGATCCACAACAGTTTCGGTTCACACTGTGGCTTCATATGACATGTCGCACTCCGAGGAAGTTCTGCGCGTCTTCTCTCTTAACTTGCTGCAAGATGAATTTGGGCATTAAACTGAAAACTGCTTCTAATTTGGTGCATTTGACAAGTAGATAACTTTTTGAATTCAGTGTTTGGATTATGTTTTTTTTTCTCATAAAATATTTGTAGTTCTGTGAGAAATTGTGCGTTTCCTGTTTAAGCTTTCTGTTTCTGTGCACAAGAGGATGATGTTTAAATGGAAGTGAGCAGCTGATGGTAGATAAGCTATTCTAGCTCATCTGAAACTTCCTCAAAGGCTAAACTTCAACACACAGCCCAGTGTTTGGTCGTCATCCACTTATATAGGATGACTGCACAAAATTAAAATGAACATGCAGATTCCTTTTGTTTATTATTTTGTATTTCCTCAGTGCAAATTCATGACATTCACATTTCTTCAGTTCTTGTTCCTATTGTATTTTTTTCATTTTCTTTATATAAAACATAGTCCTTTATTGCTCTGTGCATGGCTGGAGATGGGGGGAATAAATAAGAAGAATAAGAGTAAAAGTTTTTATTCTGTAAAGCAGTTTGTGTCACGTTTTGTATGAAAAGTGCAGTACTAATAAAGTCTTATTGATTGCTTGACCATGTTTAAATACAGTAAGTTTAAAAATACTGGAATCAAATTTAAATGAAATTATTTCTTGTAGATTTCTGTCTCCCCAAAGGTTGCGTAAGATCCCCAGAAAAAAAAAGACAGGGGACGTAACCCAGAGGAAATGCTGTAGATGAACCAACATGTGATTTGCTTGGTCCACCATTAAAAAATATAAAGGATATTCATTGTGTAAAGAAACACCAACAAACAGCCAGTCAGCACAAAACTGAGAAGTCGCGCCCTCGACCAAATCAATTTCAGGCATCTTCACCGGCCCTCATGATAAGTCTCTATGAAGCTTGTGGCCCCGAACTCAGATTGAACAACAGAAGTTCTCACTCCACTGAGCGAACAGCCAGCGAGCGCTCGCCAGCACCACTGCTCTCCTGCTCCGTCGTCACCATGACGACTCTGCTGTTGGCCTCTGCTCTTCATCTGCCGCCCCTGCTCCTTACCATGCTTCCTGCAGTTCCCTCTGGTGAGTGCAGCTCACTGATGTGGTTCAGAGGTTTATACGTCTCTTATTTACCACGCAAGTGTCCAAACGGTGTCACGCTCTCTTCTTCCAGGCTCTCCACGTCACCTTGTGCTGAAATTAGGACCAAACTAGTGCCGCAGATCCCAGCCTTCAGCCCTCTGAGTGGCTATGATGAGTGCCAGTATACGGTATGAACCAGTCTCCAAAATCTCTTCCAATGAATAGATGTAATATATTTATCAGTGTCTCTGTTATAATTCCTGTTCCAGCTTGTGTCAGCCACCCCTCTAACCATCCAAGCCAACCACAAACCAGGACCACTTTATTTCAGATAGACCAGACTTGAAATGTATGCTGCTCTGTTTACAATATGAAAATTAGTTTTTGTTTAGATTATTTATTTCTGTGGTTATACTTTACTTCAAAGTATAAAATTCAATTTATTCAGTCTATATGAAGGAATAGTAGGAATTAATGTGTAACAATCTGATATCCATCCACCTGTGTTTGTGAATGACTGTTTTTGATTCTTGGAGCTGACCAATGAATGGGCTTGACTCGGCTACGGACTCTCCACCTGTAACGCCTAACGAGCTCAGGTGCTGAAGTTACACCTCGTTCAAAATGCCACTGTTTGTACCTTTCTTATAGAGTTGTTCATAGTGGAACAGCGTCCTCGTTAGTCGTAGTAGTATTAATTGAAAACTCATTAGTGCTGCCATAAATAACATTTTTATTGTTTTATTTTATTTTCTTCTAATCCCCTCCTATGTTACTGGCTTCTTATCTTCCAGCGTATTGGCTCTACCAGCTGCTAAAATGAAGCTTCTTGTTCTTACACAGCTGATTTTCATTGACCGCTCTTCTGCGTAGATAGATGTTTGATAATAATGTTGCTTTCAAAGGCTGTGGATGAGAATTGTTGCACAAACCTCTTTGCGCCTTTGTGACTTCCGCCTGAGTTAGTGAGAATGTGTCATGATTCAGAGCTGTCACTCTCTGAGAAAGCTGGACGCATTACGAGCGATGGAGGAAATCTATGTCAACGTTGAAGACATCAAACCTTCAATAAGTCAGACAGGTAAAAACATTCAGACAATGAGACTGAGAATAAATCTGTGTAATCATCTGTTGTTACTGTGTTTACTCACTGGTCTTTTCTCTGTTCAGGTCCCAGGAGCTCTGAGAGGAGATTTCATGGAGCTGTTGTTGTCTCTCTGAGTCTGCTGAGTGTTTTCCTGCTGACTGGGCTCGTTGTCCTCAGTGTGCACTGTGAGTCTGGTTTCATGTTGTGTTGCCCTGCCTTTTACGCTCTTATTGCCCCCTTCATGTACTCTTAATTGCTGCTTCGTTGTGACATCACAAAGTTACAGAAGTCCTGACGGCTGGTTTTAAGGCTCAGTTTCTGAATACAGGCTGTGTGTGTTTCTCTGTGGACTGAGGCTTTGATACTTTCACAGTATTAATATAGAACCTAGACCTGATCTATAATCAAACAAAACATGGAAATCTCACTTTATATAATATGGAACCTTTAAGTGAAAAGTGTCATATAAAAAGTTAAATACTGATTTTAAAAAATAGGAATTTTTACCAAGGTAGTAGATATGCATATTCAAGCAGTTAAAACAGCAAATCTGTGTAAGTAGAGCTTTGTATCTTGTGTTAAGTAAACAAGTCTCTTTTGTGTATTCAAGTTTTTATTGGTACAAGGCAACAAACGACATCCATCTACATCCATCTACATACGTATATATATATTACTCCTGCATTAAAAGGGTGGCATTTCTTCGAAGTCATTGTTTTTCTTATATCTACTGTGAAATGAGGAACTAAGAAAACGAAGTACATAAGAGGAAATTCACACATCCAGACCATCTTTTAATCTAACGAGCATGTACCCAATAGGATTCTTTTGTGTCTGGTTCTGTGATCTTCTAATAAACATTAAGGCGTCTCTTGATTTATTTCAGACCATAAAAATTCAAATGCAGAACTCTCCGCTGGAGAAGCCAACCTGACTGAGTGTCTTCAGGCCAGTGACATCAAACTCTCCTCCCTGACTGAAGAGAGAGACCAGCTGAATATCAGTCTCACTGAAATGACTAAAGAGCTGAAGAGGCTTCAGAGTTTGTCCAAACAGAGTGAGTGTTTGCCGGTGTGGTTTCTGCACAGCTGTCTCTTTATATCTATGAAGCCTGATACGGATCCTCAGTTCTACAGTGTAAAGACTGTGATCTACTTAATGATGATGCAAATTGTGATATCCAAGTTACACTATTTTCATTTCCCAGGAACCTTTTTATTGTTCTAATGTGCATCATGTGTGTGTTAAGTTAATAACTGGACTAAAAGTAGACAGTGAGGAGTCATTAGAAGAAGCAGCATGAGTTTGACCTTTGAGCGTTACAACACCTTCAAATGAGGAACTGTGAGTATTGACATATTGGACACATATTTCTTTTATTTGACTCATCTTACAGAGAAAACGTGTCCTGCAGGATGGAGGATGTTCAACGGTTCCTGTTATCTCCTCTCCACTCAGTCTGGTTCTTGGGAAAAAGGCAGAGAGGACTGCAGAGCCAGAGGAGCAGATCTGGTGGTCATAGACAGTCTTGAAGAGCAGGTACTGTGTGTATATTTGTATGTTTATGTGTATCTGTGTCTACTTTTTTAACAGATCTGTGAAATTCAACTCAACCTGCTGATATTAAACAATAAAACGTCAAACTCTCTGAATGCACTTTTGCTTTTCTGTACCATCTTTTGCTGGTTTTCCAACAAGAATTCATGACACCTTTTCCATGTGTATCATCTTTAGCAAGCTAGCTAACATTGCTTTAGCCTTCCACTGTGTTTTAATATCGTATATAATGTTGTATGCATGGCGGCACGGTGGTACAGTGGTTAGCGCTGTCGCCTCACAGCAAGAAGGTTCCGGGTCCGAGTCTGTCTGTCTTTCTGTGTGGAGTTTGCATGTTCTCCTTTGTGGGTTCTCTCCGGGTACTCTGGCTTCCTCCCACAGTCCAAAGACATGCAAATGGGGACTAGGCTGATTGAATACTCTAAATTGACCATAGGTGTGAATGTGAGAGTGGATGGTTGTCTGTCTCTGTGTGTTTGCCCTGCGATGGACTGGCGACCTGTCCAGGGTGTACCCCGCCTCTCGCCCGAAAGGTTGCTGGGATAGGCTCCAGCCCCCCCCGCGACCCTACTAGAGGATAAGCGGTTGAAAATGAATGAATGAATGTTGTATGCATTCGATCAGTAGAATATCTTTGTATCAGTTAAAAATTCTGTGGAAAATCTGTGGAAATGTCCCATATTTGGACATCAGTCAACAAGAACGACAGGCATTTTTAAGATTTTTTTATCATTTTGTGCAGAGTTCAATGAAATTCAATTCCTTTTCTGGTGAAAGTTATGAATGTAATTATGGATCTGTGAGACCGAAGATTGACCGTCGCTACGATCTAAATAGGAGGACTCATACCAAAAAGGTCTTAAAGGAACGGCAGAATCTAAATGTCCGAACCTCTCTGGGCAACAAACATTAGAACAAAAGAGCCTACTGTTTCTGAACAGGTCACATCCACTCTGTAAAGTTTTGTAAAGGTACATGGTGTTGTCCATGATGCTACGGCACAAATGTCTCCCAAAGGAACCCCCTTCAGTGCAGCCCATGCAGTAGCGACACTTATGCATTGTTCACATGAGGGCTCGAGTGAAGGCAGAATGAAGGAACTAAGGAACAGAGTGAGGTCGAGACAGATCCACATTTAGCAGCGACTAAAGTAAAGTCGGACACCAGCATGTGTCGCATTGATCTCCTGTCTCTACCAGAGTTCCTGCACCGTGGTTTGGTAAACACATTTAGAGGATTAAATGAGCGCAGTGGTTTCATATCACTGATCTTGTTTTTTGTGTTTGTTTGTTTGTTCTTTTTGGCTTGAAACAGACATTCCTTGATGAATTTGCTGCGGTAGAAGAGTTTTGGTGGATTGGTTTGACTGACAGGGACAAGGAGGGGACCTGGAAATGGATTGATGGAACTCCATTGACTCAAAGGTCAGACTTGAATGATTTTCTACTGAGTGGTTTTGGAGAGCGCTTGCTGTATATGTGTGTAGTAAGACTAAAATACCTGTATGTTTATGTAATTTTATATAATTATATATATATATACCAAATTTGAACTTGTAACCAAATTTGATTTGCTTCTCTGACTGATGTCTTATCCAAAGCAATGACTGGTTAGGATCCTGTATGTCTTTGTATTTAGTGTAAGAACAACTCCTTCAAATCAAACAATAATATATATGTTGTCAGTGCCCTATTTAGCAATGTATGATTTTCTGTGGCTTCAAAATCCATTGCAAATCATGGGCAAAAAAAAAAAATCTGTTTTGTGGCAAATGCTTGAATGTCTTCAGGAACATTTCCAAACACATTCAAACGGGCTCAGGTAACTCCTCTGCTCATAAAGCCCTCACTCGACCCTGCTCACTTGTAAATCACTTTGGATAAAAGCGTTTGTCGAATGAGACTCTGTTCTTGTAAGAGGTTAATGTTGTTGTCATGCTCTTGTTCTTTAACATTCTAGTTACTGGTGTGAAAAGCAGCCTGATAATGGTGGTGGAGATCCGCAGTGGGGGGAAGAAGACTGTGCACATATATACACTAGCAAGGATTCTGACAAAAACTGGAACGATCGGTCATGTACTGCTTCTATGAAATGGATCTGTGAGAAAATGGCTTAGCGCTGGTGTGTAATCTCCATCCATGCTTTTACAAAGACCTTTGGTATTGAGTGTCCGTTTATATTTGTGTGTGTGAAAGAGAGAGACTCATGTATTACTATTTCTTTCTCATCAAAGTTTGGCATTGTTGAAGAACATTTCTGTGTAAACCTCTCTGCACCAGTGTGAGGATCCTCTTCCTTCTTCTCCACTTTAATCATAAGTGTAATGTATATGTTTGATTAGTTATTGATGCAAGATCCTGATCATTCAACAAGTGGAAGTACACAACTGAAAGTTTCTGCCAGGCATCTGAAACTGTGTCATTTACATTGACAATATCCCACTGCTCATAGTCTTTGGCCCACAGTTTAACACGATGCAAAAGCAACAACACAAATACAAAAGACACAACACAAATACAAAAGCCACAATATAAATGCAAAAAACACAACACAAATACAAAAGCCACAATACAAATACAAAAGCCACAATATAAATGCAAAAGACACAACAAAAATACAAAAGCCACAACACAAATACAAAAGCCACAATACAAATACAAAAGACACAACACAAATACAAAAGCCACAATAAAAAAATGCAAAAGACACAATACAAATACAAAAGCCACAATACAAATGCAAAAGCCACGACACAAATACAAAAGCCACGACACAAATACAAAAGCCACGACACAAATACAAAAGCCACAACACAAATATAAAAGCAACAACCTGACTGCAAATCAACAACATGAATGCCACAACACTTTTGTATTTGTGTTATGGCTTTTGCATTGTGTTGACCAATCTGAGCCAGTGTAGCTCTGCCCTTTTAAAGCTCTCTGTAACTTTTAAATTAGATGCTCACCCCTCATGGCAGAAGAACTTCATAAAGATATCTGTATCTTGAAGGGTACAACAGACATTCAGTTTGTGTTTCTAATAAAGATTTATTGAAAGCTGAAAACTGTTTGAAAGTCCATCACTCTGGTTCAAGTGTTTTGTTTGAAAGCTGCTCCTACACAGTGATGACACTCGTAATTCAGTAAATTCTGTGTTTGTTACTTGACTCTTGGTTTGCATTGTGAGTCTATAAACTCCATGAAGGTAAGCCAAACAACAGGTCATAATTAAATATCATACTTAATTGCCTAATTAGGCAATAAAATTTTTTCATTATCCTTTAAACATCATCATGTGACACATTGCTGAAAATTGTGTTCAGGAAATGCTTGCTGTTGAGAAAATTATAAAATCTATCAATCAACAAATTGTCAAATGACATAATGTTATACGATATGGGACCTTTTAATGTTTAGTGTAAATAACTGACAGTAGTTAAATCTGAAATATAATTGAGGATATGTAAACCTGCAACAAGCGATGTACTTACCTGATCAAAACCTTAAAACTGAACAAAAAACTTAAACATACAGACTTAACATGTGGTGTTAAAACAAGTTTGCATCAGAATCAACAGCTGTCGGTATTTACCTTCCCACCGCAGGTTGCTGCTCTTTGCATGTTCCAAGAAAACAGAAAACCACTGGATTTACAGAAGGAAATGAATATTTTACTTTGTTATTTTCTGAATCGTTAGTTGTTACTTTGACCAGTTAAGTTTAGCAGCCGCTCTAAACTTCCAGCTGAGGTGAAGGCACACAGTCATGTCAGGGTATTTGGAAAACCATAGATATGCTTATCCTTCTATACTTGAACACACAGAATAAAGCATTCAACAATCACTTCAACAGAATTATTTTTATCAGCTAATGGCAGTGTCTGTTTTTTCTAATGCCTACAACCTACAGCAGGTTTCTATGTATCTAACAGGGACCTCTTGTGGCCAAGTGAATTATAACTGTTGTCTGTAAAGGACAAAAGGCGTTGTACTTCCACAGACCCTCCACCTCCAACTATCATGTTCCTCTCCAAACTGTATTTTACAAATGTAGACTAGTTGTATACAAACATCATTTGTAGAAGATCATATTAGACTGTTGTAAATAAGAAAATTCCTTTATAATATATAATTTTGCCATCAAATTTCTGGTTGACTTACTTACTCAGACTGTAGCTGCCTATTATCTTTGTAGCAGAGTAACATTATATATGTGAACAGAGGGTGGTGCTGGTGTGGTGTCATTGTGTAATGTGTAGTGCTGTGCACTCAGACTGATGTGATGCAGTTACTGAGACATATCGCCAGTGAAGTGTGACTTTCATGTTGAGAAAGGAGGATGTAGTATGCAACACTTCATATGTAACTAAGATTAGGGGTGTCTTCGTTAAATGTTGAGCACATGCAGTTGGTCCAGTCCAATAATTATGTTTCCTTCCACATTGTTGGTATCCATTATGTAATCACAGTTTTTCATTTATTATTAAATAATGTCCTAAAACACATGATAGATAGACAGATGGAGATTTAGTCCTTTGTAAATGTGATGTAATTTAGTTTATCTGATAATAATGTTGCTTTAAAAGGTGAATTGTCACTGAAAAAATTTTAATATTCATGACTTCCTCACAAGTTGAAGGTGAGAAATAGAAAAAAACAAAACTTCAATCATTTACATGAACTGTGCTGCAGAGCTGTCATTCTCTGAGAAGGCTGGACATTCAGAGCGATGGACAAAATCTATGTCAACTTTAAACCCATCAAACCTGTCGACCCAAGTCCTTCAACAACTCAGACAGGTAAAAATGTTCAGACAATGAGGCTGACAGACAGAGCTGAGGATAAATCTGTGTAATCAAATGTCGTTACTGTATTTACTCACTACTAAAGATATCCTGTCATTGTGTTAATGCAGTTCTCATCTGACTCTAACAACTCATG